CATTTATTATATAACTGCATGTATGAAGATGCATGGGCACTGCAAATACTTATTCATCCCTACTATAATTTATATATAAAAAAATAATATACATAAAAAATAGTACAAAAATTAGTTGAATGTAAAAAAACAGTTTTACTCAATCAGTTCAAAAATTGTATAAAACTATGTTACCGTGATCTAGAACTAGAACTGTGTCTCCTGTATTTTCTCTTTTTATCTCTGGAGCTAGATTTTCTAGGGGATCGTGATCTTGATCTGCTAGATGATGATGGGGACCTATGTCTGGATCTCCCATGAGTGCGCTTATTACTTTTAGTTTCTTTCCGTTTAGAATGGCAAGATGATCTTGATGAGTCAGAACGAGGACTGCTCTTAGAGGACTTAGACTGCTTTTTATCATTGTTCTTTGAAGGTAATTGAGGACCGATTACAGAGCCTCCACTTTCTTTAGATCTAAAAAAATCAGAAAAACGTAGCTTAAAGAACACTATATTTTAATTAGTATTTTAAAGCATAGTTATACAACCAAATATAATTTCTTCATCAAAAATTTTGTGCATTTTTTACTTAATTTTGAATTTTGTGTTTTTTTTAAAAAGTGTACTTTTTACTTAAATTGTTTTTTTGTTTTAAATTTAAAGTTAATGCTTATATTTACACAATTAAGCAAGGAAATAATTTTGTATAAAACAAATTAAAAAGGAGTGAAAGTATTCTTGGATATATAGATAACAAAACTCAGGGAATGCCAAATTTATGCTATTTAGTAATTGCAAAGCTGTTTTTCAGTAGAAATGAAGAACATTTTGTGTTGTAGTGTTGAACTGCAACATTCGATAGATATTCAACTAGATTCATTTTTCTAAGCGATAAAATAAGTTTCATTAGCTAAAAATCACTTCAAACCGTCTTTGCCATACACAAGCAAACATGAAACATGTATTTTAAAATTAGCTTTAAAGTATACGATGAACATTTAATACAATTTATTTACTTGAAAACAAACTAAAGAAAAGAGAAAAACAAAAATTCTGAAAAGCATCTAATTGCAAGACACTAAATATGTAACAAATAAATACATAGATTTTGACGCTTCAAATTCAATCTAGTTTTATTCAGCAAAATTCAACCTCCATGGAATTTAAAATCCCGGTCTTGTAGTGGACTAAAGAAAAAATCTTGACATTTTTTGGAACAATATACATATACCAGAGTACTTTTACAAAAAGAAAACAGCAAACAAAAAAGGTATAGTTTGTTCTACTTAAGTATAATAAAGGCATATTGATTGTATCCCAAAAGAATAATAAAATATATTATTCTTAGTTTAAAAACTGTAGTTCAAAAGAGAAAGTTAAAACAGCTTCCAGCATGATTATATTAATTGAGTATAGAACTCATAATAGTCGAATTTATAAAAAAATATTTATAGCACTGGTGCATTAATAAAAAAATTGTATCAATTATTTAAAATTTCTATATACTAATATTTAATTAAAATTTGTAATACAGTTTAAGACTTCCTTAATCAAATGATCTTAATAAAATTACTCTTATAAATGAAAACATTGGTAAATATTTGCAAGCATATATAGTGAAAATATATTTTTAAAATATATTTTGAATAAATATCTACTATGGTTAATAGTTCATAACACAACACATTTAAATTTTTTTCCTTTTAAATGCTATGGAAACTACAGTATTTTTATTTTTAAGTTAGAAGATTAAAAATTTTTAGAAGAAAATAATTTATAAAAAGACTTTTTTCTTCTCATTTTTAGACAACTGTTAGCATTGCAATTCTTACATGGAAAAAAAAAGATATAGCACAACTGAAAATAAAGTATCAATTGAAATAAAGTTAAAAATAAAATTTGAAATACAGTCCAAAAAAGGCCAAGGGAAAGCTAAGAATTTTTAACCTAGTTCCAAAGATAAATGCTTACTGCATACCGCTGACCACGATCAAAGTGTAAAAATGCTATTATATGGCTAACAACTGAAAGAATATGAGGGGAAAAAATATTCAATAACAACAGCACTGCCCGAAAAAATTAAATCTGCAATTGTTATTTTTATTTAGAACATTTATAAACTAAATCTGATCTCTCATAGGAAATACTTTGCAATTTAGACTTAAATGTGAGGAAAATTCAACAACTAAGATGTCAAATAAAACAAAATATAGCAATGATATATATATCACAGATGATTATGCCATAACCCATATAAATGTTTAATGATATCATAAACATAATCCCATATAAAACAATTACTTTGTCTTTCCAGATTTGGAATTGGAAGCATGATTTTTATTTCCGGATTTCTGCTCTCCATCTGATACTTCACCGCCAAAACTTGTAATAAACATTATTTTTCCAGCTTCTGGTGGTGACCGTGAACGAGACTTGGAAGTAGAATGCCTAGAAAAATGACAGAACGATCACTTATGATCCAGCTTAATTTCAACAGCAGTCAAGATTAAAAATGACCAACATAGCAGCTGAGATAACTTCATAGCTACTATACAGAATTATGTGTTTTAATTACTACATAGCTTACTAAGTTTTAACATTGCGCTACTTCATTTAACATAAAGGTGGGCATAAAATTGTTATATAGGTAAAAAAAAAAAATTAAGGATAGGGATATCTACATTTTTAATGTTAATCAATAAACAATTTTTATAAACCTTATCAAAAATGCAGTTTAAAAAAATGTTCAATAAGGGTCACAAAATAATATTGATGGAAAAAAGAAACTAATTCCTACTGAAGAAGTAGGGACTGAAAAGATCAAAATCCGTTTCATAGAAGGAGGAAACATTGAGAGGCGATTATTAAAAACAAGTTTAATTAGGCAATTTAACAGGCTTTGATCTTTTCATCTCTCCTTGCATGATTCAAGTCATTTGATAACATTTCTGTTTCATCCTTGCTTTAATAATAATTAGTGACTTCAGACATTTATTTTAATTTTAACAAGGATTCTATAAATACACTTTAAAGGCTGTGATTATAGAAAATCTTGTAATAAGTAAAAATTCCTAAGGAAAAGTGTTGAAATAAGACCATGAAAATAAAAATTTCATATACAGGAATTTGTTAGAATAGTTAAATATTACGGCCATTTTTCTCAGTTAAGTATAATAAATCAAACAAACAAAAATTGCATTTCAATTTAGATACTGAAAGTAATAGTGTGCTCTACATAATTATTAAACCCTCAAGAAATATTGGTTTTTAATTAACTGAACAAAAAAGGAAATACTGAATCATTATTGAAAGTAAAAGTTGAATATTTTCTTCTACCATTTCAAATCTAAATAAATTTTATTCACATTTAAACTAAAATAACTTTTAATATAAATTAAAATTAAAAAATTAAAGTGGAAGAAAATATCAAATGTAAACATCACAAATTCTCTTGATTTGAAGGGTTGTGACTGAGAAAGATTCAAATCAAAACTTCAGTAGTTTTTAAAATTATATAAAATGTGAGTTTAAAAAATATAACGTTAAAACATATGATATCAAATTTAACGATTAATAAAAATTAATAAATTTAAATTTAAAGACTAATTTAAAATGTACTATTTCAGTATTATTTTTAAAATTAGCATAGAAAGCAAGAAACTTCAGTCATTATAAATAAAAAAAATCATTACCTCATTGGGGCATAAGTGGGACTCTCTCGAGCCGCATAGCTGAAACAAAAATTTTTAAAAAAATTAATGAAAAAACTATTAAACAAATTTAATTTCATGTCATATTTCACATTAATTTAACTTAAAAGCATTATCAGGGTGCGTAGCCAAAGTTTCAACACTCAAAAATACTTTTAAGCACATATAAAAAAAATATAATCAGGCAGGCTTGGCAAGTTTTTGACAGTTGACGGTTTTATCTAGATTTAACCATCATGTCAAAAAAAAAAATTTGGCATTGTTTTTGACAATTGTCAAAAAACATAAAATTTTGAATCATAAAACAAAAGGCGTTTTCATACACTAAGGACCAATGGTACGCCAAAATAGATTGGGGTTGAATTACTTGCAAAACATCGAATAGAACAATTAGAACAGTATCTTTTTGCATAATATGTGGCGAAAATCAACAGGATAAAAGAAAAATTAAGCACCTTTTAAAAACACCGAGGGCTTTTAAAAAACGAAAATCGAAAATAAGCACCTTTAAACACTTTTTAAAAATGCTACGCACCCTGATTATTATAGAAGCCAGAGTAGGTGCTTTAAACAGCAAAACTACTCGGTTTTTTTACCCTCTTCATTAATTTTAAATGAAAATAAGTGCTTTGGAGAAAAATATAGCACAAGAAAAATTTGTGTTAAAACCAAATACAGTTACAGTAACTTACAAAAACTTATCAAATACAAATCTTTAACAGTCTAAGAACACCAATTTTTCAGTTTATTATATTAGAAAGTACAATTAAAGCAGCTTTCTGCAAGCATAGATTATAGGAATTTAATAGCTGTCATTTTTCAAATTTGTTAAGATTTGCAGCAGGGTTTTAAAAATGACCATCAGTTTTTTTCAGTTTCTTTTAAAGCTCTCCTACATTCTTGCTCTAATACTATTCACTCTCTCTGATAAAGTTTATGATGAATATATAAAGTTTATGATGAATTGCCTCCTTCATCCTAAACTTTATTTTGTGTCAAAGTTGAAATATGATAAACTACATATCAAATTTTTGGAAAAATTTACAATTTGATGAGGAAGATAATGCACATCAAAATGTTAACTATTGTATGTTAATGTTTATGTTAGATGTTTACTATGTACAAAATGTTATATGTATATATGGGACATAAATTGTTTAAATTTTTGACAAAGCTAGAAAACACTGACAGTTACTCACAAAACATTTCAATTTACTTATGACTTAAAATAAAATATAAAAAACAGATATTAAATTAAAATATTCATTAAACTTCATGTAACAGAACAGATACCTTGGAGGACTAGTGATTTTTCTTCCAGCTAACTTTTTCTCTCTTAAAGCTCTTCTTTCACGTCTGGATTTTCTACCCTACATTATTTATTAAAGAAATGTTATTTTCATAAACCTACATGATACGTTACTTAGCAATTAAAAAATTTATAATAGAAATGTTTATTTTCCTAAACCTATATGCTATGTTACTTAGCAATTAAAAAATTTATTAAAGAAATGTTTATTTTCATAAACCTATATGCTATGTTACTTAGCAATTAAAAATCAAACAGCAGAATTTTATACATTCCAATATTGTTGCTTTTTTTTCACGTCATTTTTGGAGTGATATTTTTACAAAGTGGATTAATTAAATAAATAGGTTAGTATTCTATTAAAAACATAGGAATTTCAAAGAATAACAGACGAAGAAGAAAAAACGAGCAGGAGACCATGTATGCTTACGATGGAATTACATGTCTTTTAAAAAATAATTTGGAACCTGTAACCTAGAATTCTCTATTAATTCAAGTAAAATATCTAATACTAAAATCGTGATTAATAATAATAAGAAAAAAAATTAATTCATTGAATTTCTAAGATTTTGTTTAAATAACAAGTTCGAATAATTTTAAATAACAATTGATAGAATAATTTTCAAGATACGAAAACACTTAATAGAGTTAAAAATAAAATACTGCAAGCTTTCGATTTTTTTTAAATAACTAATTAAGAAGTAAGAAATTTTATCATTTTCCTTTAATTTTCTTTTTAATTTTTAAATAATTCACANAAGTGTCTATAGTTATGATTTAATGATAGTGGAAGTAACTGCAAACTTTCAAAGACAAGTGCAACAAGGGGGTGTGTTGGCTATTTTTCCTTTCTCATATAAATCTATGTATTGACAGCAATGACAAACTAAATAAAAAGAGTTAAAAATAAAAGTTTGACAAATCCACTGTAGAGTTTGGGGGAAAAATAAAGGGTTGAGGAAAGAAAGGGCAAAAAGGGTATGGAGTCTTATTACATCAGGACACTAATTTACTTTAGGGGCAACAGGGTGGATTCTTTTGACTAAAAGGGCAGCAGGGTGCTGCTCCCTGTTTACCCTGCCTAGAATGAGCTCTGATTATGTCATATAATTGTGTAACTGTTTCTCTTAGATCGAAATAACTGCAAATTTGAAAAATTATTCTTTGGAAGTGAGCCATGTTTGGAGGATTTTACCTTTGATGCAGAAAAATACACTGGTGTTTTAAACTCTATTTCAAACCCACAAATTATTAAAATCCTAAATAAAATATTTTTCACTTATTTTGACCTAAATTAATACAACATAATGAAAAAAGTAGGAATGAATACAATTAATACCTAAATTAATACAAGATAATAAAAATTTTGCTTCAAAGGGTTAAATGAAGTAACAAAATGTAAAGTGTTAACAATAGTTTTTCCAGAATTGATACTGTGTTTTCTGAATTTTTCATACCCACCAAGTAAAAAACTAAACTCCCTAATGCCTTTTCTTTGGGTAGAACAAAGTGATATAATCACAAAACTAATAAAAACAAAACTTGAAGTAGAGTTTACTCCAAAATAAAATTTAACTCATAACATGATATTTCTCCAATGTGTTCCGAAATGTAGCACTGTACATATTTGTAAAAAATGACCACCACAGCTTACCCCTCATTCTTTCAACTCAACAAAGTTTTAAATTTTTATTCAAATTTTCTCATTTGACTTGCCCCAATAGAATTGTTCATGTTGCTATGAAATAATCTCCCTGAATAGCTATATTTAAACAGTTTGCAAATAACCAATGAAATTTTTGTCTAACAAAATAGTAAATTTTAGATGTGTAATAAAATTAGGCACAGTTGAAAAATTTATAAAAATTTTCATAATATTTTAAAATCATATGTCTTTAAGAACTAACAAAGATTCTTTTTCCTATGAAGGGAATTTCAAATGTTGAGAAATTTGCTTGATAACAAAACAACAACAAAAAAGTCAGCTTAAATTGAAACAAAAATAAATAAATTCATTACTTTAAAACTGAACTTAACAAAGATAGTTCAACAAGTCCAGATAAAGACTTCAGTAGAGACTATCTATTAAGTAATGTCTTAAAATTCTCAATCTTTAATTGAATTTCTTTTTTACACAAAACCATAATCAACAATGATTTTCTTCTCTATATTTTTAAGATTAATTCAATCAAAACTTATTACAGATTTATTTTCTTTGTTTTTTTAAAGATTAATTACCACTCATTTCTCATCAAATTCAGATTAAATGAAGAGAAAACTTCACTTTCTTTGTTATCTGTAGCTAAAAATAAATTTGTACGATTAAAGACCTTCATGAAAATGCTCAATAAAGAGAAGTAAGAGAAAACAAATGGGTTATATGGATGGAAGATATTAAAATGTTTAATAAAGCAATTAAAATAACAATTCTCTAAATTTAATTATATTACGTATATGGTAAATCAGTACTTTATAGACTATGAATTTTCCTTAAAAATACAGAATAAAACAATAAAATATAAAATTTTGTTTAATTGGTTTAAACATAAATTATTAAAACTTACAGAAAGGATGTTTCCATTTTTTTTTCCTTTTTACAAAATAAAATTCTTTCTTTTTACTTTAATAATTTCAAAATAGAAACTTAGAAATATTTTTGCCATTGCTTTTAGATACAAACCTTCCTTATATGGTTGAAATTGTAAGTAAAAGCAAATGCTTGATGTTTAATTTAACAAAACATGTTAAGTATTATAATAAATATTTAATAATCACAACATATTATATTCTTATTATAATATAAAGACAAATTTAAAAAAGGTTTGAATTTTAAAAAAATTCCCCTAACTAAAATAATTAGGTAAGCTTTTTTTTAAAAAAAAAATTCTGAATTAATAAGAATGCATTTTATAAAACCTAATTAAAAAAACAACAAATACATATTTATTTCTGAAAACAAAAATTTTGTATTAGTTTTCGAACATATTTTGGTAGCAGCAATGAAGGTAATGAGGTAACACAAATAAAATTATTAATTTTTCTATTGGACATTAAATTAAGCCTAAACTGTTAAGTTTTATATACATAATAAGCCTTTGTAAATAGAAAAATGTACAATCTAAACTAAAAAAATTATAAATAAATAAAAACTACTGTTGTTTTTTATTACACAACACAATACCACAATGCACACAAATTTTTAAAAATAAATAATATAATTACACATAATATTTTACTATTAATTATACTTAAAATTGATTTTAAAATTTCTAATTTATCCAAAGTTCTAATAAAAACATGTTTGTCATTTACAAATTTTTCTATTTGTGAACAATAAATATATTTATAATTTTTATTTATTACTCATTATATTAGGGTATGAAGGTTATTTTTCAATAATAAAAAAAAAACTTTAACTGTAACAATCATTAGTATTCAGTAAGCATAGATAAGACTTAAGAGCACATATTTAATTTTCAAAGAAATCAGTACAGATTTATATAAAGCATATAATTTTAAATTTTTTACATTATCTTAATAAAAGCTGTTATTGACTATTATTATTTATTTTTTTTAAATCACAGTTACCCAAATTTGGTAAACCTTTCAAATGGATCAATCAAGAAAATGAAAATGCAAATACAAAAAACAGGGGTAGATATTAAGAAAATTTAATCAATGGACCTAGGGCCAGTAACTAAAAGATATTACTAGTCCATTCACATATTCACTACATGTTATTGTCACTATTGTTTTTTTTTTCTTTGCTTAAAAATGAATTGAATGATTTTGCATTTTATTGAAAAATTAAAATTTGAAGAATGTGTTATATTCACCGTTATGACTAAATATGTTATTTTGCGTAAAAAAAACGCCCATGATTTGTAACTCTCAGTCAAGAAACCTAAATGGCATACCCTCCCTTTACCTCGATATTAAGTGAGGAAAACAACTGATAATTGTTTTATGGTGGTCCGAGTCAAAATTTAATGGTCCCAGACGGACGAGCCACTGTTAATTTCAAGCTCTACAACAGTTACATCAATTTGTTACCTGCTTAAATCAATGTTGTTCGGTATATAGGGAAAAAAAACCTAGTTTGTGAATATCTAATTAAGTATAAGCATAAGAAACAAATAAAATCTTAACAACAAAGAAGGAATACTAAATTAAAAAATAAGACATTTTAAAGCAAAAAGCACCAAAACAACTTACTGAATACATAGCCTTTTCCTCTTCAATTTCCCTTGCCAACCGCAGCTGATCAGCTTCTTCTTTGTCCTGCAGTAGATATCTGTCGAAATTTCCCTTCATCATTACGATTTAAATACAACTTTATACAAAACATTGTTATTTTTTTATATGACCAATACCCTCAAAAGCATTACGAGGCTACTGGTATTAAAAAAAAAAAGAAATTTTTGGGAAGGACACCATTGTCGATTCTATGTGATAGATTTATGCAAAAGAAGGTAGCCAGAACATCTAAAGAGAATGCCATAAGATCTCTTACGTTATAAAGTCATCGTCTACCATCCCGTATTTTGTTGAGTGTTCATTCATTTCTGCAGACTGAGCAGGAGTAAGCACGCTAACATCTATAGTAACATCTAAAAAAGAAATACATACCTCAATAATACATTTAAGTAAATTAAATATTTTAGAATATGTTAAATGATACAATATAAGCACATTAATCATTGATTACATATAAATAAAAAACTTATTACTAAACATGAGTACCACAAACTAAGAAAAAATAACTGAAAATGTGAAAGTGACACAGAAGTGACTTGAATTTTACATATAACTACTACTTAAACTAGCTTGATACAAACATTTATCAAGTAATTTAAAAATTATGCAGCTTTTATTGACTAAAAACAACAGTTGTAATACCTTTTCCTTTTAGAAAATTTTTTATTTTGGAATTTCTTATCTCCAAATTTTTATTTCTAAGAGTTTCAAAGAGTATCAGCATGTAACCTCCTCTTACATTCAGTTTATGGGGCTAAGGAATGGTACATTATGGTTTGAGAGTTAGAATCTTGCAAAAGTAATTTACTTAAAATCATAACTCAGCCAATCATGCATGAAAAGTTATATTGAAAAAAAGGTGGCTCAATGTAAACATGCATAGTATTTTTTCTATGCGTCTACTTCCATGAAGACAGTAAATAAAAGATTTACTATTTAAAGAAGGAATCACGTGGCATAAGTAGCATAGATGCAGGTTTACAACAAGTTCAATATTAATTACAAGCTCTCAAGAATTTTTTTGGCTTGAACGACTGCGGAAATACTTTTTTCTTTGAAATAATAACTAGAATACCTGTTGAGATCTATCCTAAACATGACACTGAAATTTCAATTTCAAATGTCAACATTCAATCAGTATGAAAAGCATTCACAATTTAACTTGTGAACTCAAGGAATGTAAAAATATATTATTTAGAAATAAACCTTTGGTAAAATTTTGATCACGGCTTTGCTAAATGTCAATGCTTATAAACTAACATTTAAAATTTACAATTTATAATAAATAAACACATTAATTCCCAAATGTGCCCTTAAATTGAAAATAAAAAGCAAGACATCAAAGGAAGATACTATATTGAGCAGAATTAATAAATACGTATTTTGATAAGTGCGTGAAACAGCAACTTACAAATACTTTAAATCTTATATAAACAAAAAAAAGTTGAACAAAATTGGAAAATTATCCAGAAATAATTGCATCAATATTAAAATAACAAAAAATAATAACTAGAAAAGAGTTAGTAAAAAAAAAGCTGCTTATACAAAAGTACTAAGTATAAGAAAAAAAATTTATGCTGAACATCATAAAATGCTAGACAAAGTATAGAAACAAAATTTTATTTAAGCATACCGAGATCAAGATCACTTAAATCATCTTCCTTATCCTCTTCATTTTCTTCATCATCTTCCTCCATATCTTTCATGATTGAGGATCTGGTGGGGGATCCAGTACTATCCTCATAAACATAGCCAATAGCTACTTTCTTATCAAGAAGCCTAAAATTTAAAAAACAGAAACAATAAATGATAAACTTAGTATTTTTTATATTAACAATTGAAGTTCAAAAATTACAATTTTAATTACTTTTTTTTCTCCTCTTCCGGACCTGGTTTAAATATTCCAAATCTTTCCTCAAGATATATTTGATGAAGAAATTTATCCTCACCCACTAAGAGAAAATTAATAATAGACCATTAAGGTTACTCAATAAAATCTAATAAGCATATTAATTATCACAAATTAAAGCAATTTACTGAAATGAAGAAAAAAATAATTTCTAAGATAATGAATTCAGCTTAATTATGCTTTTATCTAAAAAAGTTTTAAATAATGTTAAAGATTGGCTATTATTAAACTCAGCTGCCTCTGTTGCGTACCTTTTAAACAATACCAAATAACTGTTTCCAAAACAAAAAGAAAAACTCAAACATTGGACACCATTTTATGTCCAGAATGTGTTCACATACTTATACAAGTTACATTCGGGACATTTTTACAATTATTTTTCTGAACTTTTCTTTACTGATAAGTTATTTTAAGTAGAATTTATATTCTAAGTTAACAACCTGCACAATAAATAGCTTAATTAGTGGGCTTTGCAGTAAAAATGTTAACTAGACCACATCACAAAGAGTAAAATAATCGAAAATAAATAAAGGGTATTTATTAAAATAAAAAACAAAAGTAATTAGATTAGACGTTAATTTTTTTTATACATAAACTATTAAGTCAATTATTCAATGTTATTTTTAAAAAAAAAAATAAAAAAATTATTTACAAGAAAAAATTGCTCTCAGAATGTGTTAATGCACACGAAACTATTATAGTAAAAAAAGCTAAAACTAATATAGTACTTTTTTTGCTCTTTAACAATTTTAAAATTCAATGTAATTCCTGTTTTAATTTTTACGTAAAAACTAAACTAAACTCAGTGGCGTGACAGCCCATAGAGGGCCACCTACTGTGCCCATCTCAGTTTCCTTGACCTTGGGCTCTGGGGTGCATTTTATCTCAAAGAGCATTTAATTTCCAACATAAGTTTATAACAGAATGTAAATTTGCATGTTAACTAAAATTAAAACTGGATTATTTAAAAAATATTCTTTACTTAACTTATCTGTTTGCCAATAAATGAATTAAGTTAACATAACAAAATTTAATTACATCTAAAAAAAACACATATGCATTATAGAACACAAAAATTACATACCACTTAAAAAATCATTTTGAACTAAAGTTCGATAACGCTCATAACATGCTTGACGATCTTCTCCAGGTTCATCATCATTTCTTAAATGTAATAAAAAAAAGTTAAATAATGAAAAGAAAGAAATTAATGAATCAATTAATAATATCATTTAAATATATTACACAGAAATGCAGTCAGTTAGTTACAACTTGAAGTACAATAACTCAAATAGCATTATAACTCCATTTTTTATGAGGTCTTGATACTTTTATTTTAACATACTAGATTTTAACTAGATGATTGGAAGCTAAAATAAAAATAATAACTACAACTAAGAAGGTTAGAATTTTTTGTTTTTACTTTTACAATTTATGCACCAGCAAGGAGTGAATAAACTTATTTTTGTCAGCATCAATATTACTACTGAATTAGAATTAGAAATAAAGAAATTCAGTCACATTTATAGTCATCTCATTTATTTCAAATGCATCAAATTCTGGATAAGGAATATGTGCATCATTTATTGTTAAATCTTCTGTCAAATAAATGTTTGTCACTAAAAATGACTAAGCAAGAGAACTTGAAAAATAAAACTAATAAACTTAACTTGAAAAATAAGCAAGGTTATCTGCTACATTTTAGATTTTCAAATTCATGACTTTCCATGACTATTTCCAAGAACTTTTCATGACTTAACGAAGTTACTATTTTCTCCCGACAAAAACAGAACAATAAATTTAAAAAGCATTATAATAACATTATTTGAAATGATAGGTTACACTCTGCATCTTCATATTTATAGATTTTAAATTTAAAAAACAGGAAAAAAAGAAGAGTAGAAACAATAAAATAGCTGAAAAAAATACAAAAGCAAATTTTTTTTCTTCTTTCTTTTCTGCAGAATTTTAATCTAAAGATAATTTTCTTGTTCATAAAGAAATACTCCTGATTTTTCTGTTCTCATTTTGGAATAAAAACTATTTTGGCAATGACTAGCTTGCTTCAGCTAGAATTTTAAATTGATACAATAAAATAAAAAAAATAATAATAAAAATTCTGAAATCACAGAAGTTTAAAAGATAATTCACTCTAGAAATGATGTTTTCCTTTCATTTTTTGAAAGAACACCATTACTTTTAAAGAACATGATAAAAACATTTTATATTTTAATAAAACATGAATGTGAGTGGGGATTTTGTTACAAATTCAGATATTCGGAACACCATAAAATTAGGGGGAGGGGTAAAATCTATTTTGAAAATTCAGCGACATATTTCCATGATTTTTCGGTGACCTAAATTAATGACTTTCCATGATTTTTTTTAAAAAATAGTTAAAATCAAGACAAATTTTGTTCAATACCGAAATCCATGACTTTCTATGATTTTTCATGACTTTCCAGGTTCGTGGATATCCTGAATAAAACTAATCTTACCAATGAGGTGGATATAAATCTAATGACAATGAAGTAAGTTATAGCTTTGAATTATTAAATATCCCATATTTTTCTTTAAACATAATAATAAAAAGAAATACAGTAGAGAACCATCTATCCGGTATCCAGATAATCGGGAAACCAGAAAACCAAGAAGAATTTTGCTTGCTTTTCCCGCTATTTTAAAGTACTATAAGGATTATAAAAAAAAAGCAGAAATTTGACTCATCCTTAAAGTTGAGTAGAGGGAAAGGGGGGAATTCTTCTCCTCACTTGCCCAGAGGAATTCTTCTCCTCACTTGCCCCTGACCTTGAAGATCATTAGAACCAGAGGGGGCAGGGAAGGGACAAATGTTTTATTTTCTCCTATGTTTATTTTCTTTTTCTGATAAGCTGCGGTCAATCAAACTTAAAGGAGTGGCAAGATGATTTCATTTTCTCTTTGATTTACAAGGAGGTGGGGAAAATGCATTGCATATGCATAGCAATGAATGTTTGAGTTAAGGAACTTGAAACATCTGGTTAAGAGTATTGATTTTAAAGGTGAAATGTGAGATTTATTTTAAATCATCCACTTCAGTTACTCAGTTTTGTTATTTATTATGGTGAATTGTTTTATTATTTCAGATAATGCATTATTTAATCACCAGTTATATTAATCTATTTGACATCAATTAACAAAACAATTTTTTGTTGAATAAATTCTGATTTCTTACAAATGCGATATCATTAGCAAGTTTTTCTTGACATGCAATCACATCTGCTTTCCTTAAAAATAGTCTTTTAATAAAAAAATAAAATAAAAGGAGAAGATTGTTTATTAATTTAAGCATACAATTATTTGTTAACAAAAGCAGGTGATTATTTTATGAAGAAGATAGTTTTTTTTTTTTTTAATTTTGATTCTGTTTTTCTGCGTTTCCACTGCATTTTTTTTTTCTTTTAGGATAAATTTTGTACTCAATAAATTAATCTTTTTATTCATAAATTTTATCATGAAATTTTTTTTCTTAATTCCGTTTATCTTATAATATCCTGTCTCTTCAAGGTTTTAATACTTATGTTAGTGCCTTTTTTAAATATCGTTTCCGTTCCATAATTTTCAAGTGTTGTTTTTATTTAGATTAATAAGTTTTCTATTCATCCTCCCCCCCCCCCAGTATAATTAGGTATGAAATATATTGCGTTTTTTAATTATTGGTTTTGTTTTATATTAGTTAATTTTGGGATTTTAATTATTATCAAAAAATAAATATGCAAATTTTGTAGTTTTTAAACTTGTTTTTCTTGTGTAAGTTTGCAAATGTTTTTATCATTTTAAATGTAATTTTTCTACCATTTTTTTTAATTTAGGAGATCTTTTCGTTTTTTCCCTATTTTTAAATATGTTTAACTTTTTCCTTGTAATTTGGGTTTGATAAAACATCGAATAACGGCACTTTTGGCCTATCCAGAAAACCGGGAAATTCAAACATCTGGGATAGCGATGGTCCCGAGCATCCCGGTTAATTGGCTCTCTACTGTATTTCAAAACAATATGAACCAATCAAAAACATAGTTATTATTTTAAAGTCAAAAATACAAACTACTCCTCAGTTACACTATATATAGGTCACAAATTTTTTTCCAGCCATATAACATTCAAGTCATCTACAATTGATTGTTTATAATATTTTTAAATGTTTGCATATTTTTGTCAAAGAATTTAATTTAAATTATAATACTCAAAACAAATTTATTTTGAGTGCATAATATGAAACTTGTAAACGTTTTCATTTGTCTTTTATTAAATTAGCTCATTCACGGATATGAAACCTAATTTAAATATTTAAAAGTTAGGATTTTGAAAACTTTATCAGATCTTATACAAACTACTGCTTGATTAAAATCCCCATTTTCAAGACTTGCCTGGCCTGAATGAGAAGAAACAAAGGTGATTTAAAATGTAAAGTTTCCCACAGAAAAGAAAATAATAAATTTAGAAACAGAACTAGAAAAACCACAATAACCGAAAAAAGAAAAAAAGATGAAAAATTGTGCCTGACTGGGGCAACTTATACAAACTACTTCATTATTTAGTCTGTATTATTATTTAAAATTCTCACACACCAAACTTTTAATAATATGAGAACAATAAACATTGGAACATGCAATATACTACAGGTCAAACTATGAACTGGAAACTAAACAAATAAAAGTTAACATAAAAGAAAATATTTGCTTGGTATGACATTTCAGTTGTCTAAAGACTCTTCTAGACAAATGAAAACTAGGTTGTAATAATTAGATAAATATGAATTAACTTTATTAATTAAGTAATATCTTTTTTTTTAAATATATACTTTTATACTAACCAGGGGTCTGTTTAGAAGAAATAACGGACCCTTCACAAAATATATTTTCATAAAAAAGGACCCTTCACAAAATATATTTTCATAAAAAGGACTCTTCACAAAATATTTTAACTTAAAAACGGACCCATCACAAATTTGTTTATCTTCATTATTGTTTTGTTAATCGAATAAACCTTCCGAGGAGGGGGGAGAAAAACAGATGTAAACGAACTAAGTTTTGTCTTCAGCAGATACTTCTTCAGTTATTCGCCAGAAATGAATATTCTGCATTCAGCAGTACAGGCTAAATACCAAATATTTGTATGTTGCATCTCTAATTTAGTAGCAGCAATTGCTGTCTACTTTTGAAAATTTAATTTTTGTTATTATAATTTTACAGTGTTGAGCATAATCTTGTATCTATTTACAATTTAAAAACTCATTGAAAATGTTTTTTGCAACAATCGGACCCTATTTGCACAAATTCACAAAAGCAGGACGCTGGTTTAAAGAATGCGACTTAACGTTCACTTTATATTCTCAAATTACGAGTAATTTTTTCACAATTTTACAAAAACAGGACCTTTCACAAAATGCCTGGACAGACCTGTGCTAACATAATATCACAACTGAATTTGTATCACATATACTACTAAATTTGTTAAATTAATCAAAACATATAAATGTCTCTTACTTAGGCTTGTATTCTGGAATGATATCTAAATGTGCACGGACATCAAATCTATCAATAAGATTATCTGAATGTCCTTGCCATGGCATCCTAAAAAATAACCAAATTAGAGTAAGGTGTCAACCACTAATCTCAGAAAGTAGAATATTCAACTAATAATTATTTTTTAAAAATATACTCAGGTGAAAAGAGCTTAAACAAAACTAACTTAAAATATTATTTTCAGCAAGAAAAGGTAAGAGAATTCATCTACTAATATTTGAAATTCTTACATTGTAGCTGGACTATCAGCTGCAATTGCCACTGCAGGATCAAGATGAATTTTAGCCGGCCGGCCATGAACTTGCAAAAATTGGGCAGGATCTTGTTTCTAAAACAATATTTAAGTTTGTTATAGCAATTTTTATTTTTAAAAATGTTGAAATTAAAATACACATGAGACTTATCTTTATCAGAAATTGAGAATAGCATTAAATAGGAAAACTCAAATTAATATAATGAGGATGCACAACTTGTGACTCTAACCATCGAACCAAAAATCAGCACAAAAATTTTTTTAAAGTAGCACAAAAAACTTTATAATTGCCACAAACAAACTTTACTTTGAAAAGGATTAAAACAATGACATTTTAAATTGAAAATGTAGACAAGATTGAAATCTTTAGGTGAGAAGATTTAAATTTTTTGACATATCGATTGTTTTAACAAATATTTTGGCATGCCAATGGACTGACTACAAATAAAAACAAAACTTGAAATTATACTAAAAATATAGTTCAAGGATTTAATTAAAAATTACACTAATCTGTGAACAGTAAAAAATAAAATTCGATTTTTCTCGGAGAAAGATAAATAGCCACTTACAATTTATTGATTGAAAGTGTCTAAACTTAAAAAGTTTTATAATTTAAAACTATTGTTAATAATCCTTGATTTTTTTATTGATAAGCAAAATTATTATTATGCTTATAATCAGAAAAAAATAATATTAATTAATAAAATAAAGGAAAATTTAACTGGCCTACCTGAAAAAACGAAATATTTTTACTGATGTTCTCTTACAATACAAAGAGCTTATGCCTTAATTAGCAATACATATATAACAGCATCTAAGCTGCTATAAACGCGAGAAAAAATTCAGGAAACAAAATTTATTTTTGAAATTTTTTTTTCTTGCAATATGTAGCTTGTCATACAAAGATGCCAATTATAAAAATCTCAATTTTGAATTTTCTTTTGTCACTTAAGTTTTACGCACTTTTGCACAGCAGTGCATTAATAACCTAAATTTAAATTTGTCAATATAATTACACCACATTGACAATCTGACAGAGGTACACCACAAGCCAAGAGATGCAAACTTGCTCCGCACAGCGGATAAATATTTTCGAGTGGTAGTCTCTTATAGAAAGAATCTTGGCTTATTAAATTCAATTAATAAGGCTTTTACTTACCACTGCTTCTAAATAATTCAAAGGCCTATGTGATACATAACTTTTCTGCAGTTAAACAGAATCGAGCCTTTTAAAAAGTTGGCAAAGTTAATCCAAAATCTGCAAATTTTAGTAAGTTTGTTTACCAAGTCAATTTACCAATGTTTCAAATATTTCAACCAATTTGGAGCAGTTGGTATCTTCGCATGGCTACACGCTACATATTAAATAATTGATGATGTTCACTTGAATAAAATATGTTTATAACAATTGCACAAGTAATTATAAAGGAGAACTAGGTATAAAGTTCAACATTATAATAAAGCTTTAGGTATTAATCAAGGCCATTGCCAGTTTATCAACTTCTGACAAAATTTGAAGTCATTTTAGAAATCATTTTCACAAAGGAATGTAATGATTTTTAAACTTGACAGTCACCACGTCACATTGCAGAATAATTAAAAGGAAGGGAAGAAAAAAAAAAGAATTTGGTTTAAATGCAAAGTAACTAGCATATTATTTATATAAACAGTGAAAAGGAAACTAATGAAGTTACATCAAAAAAATAATCAATCAACACATATATCAATTAACAATAATGATAATTAAAGAGACTGGAGTTAATTAGTAATCTAATTTTACAAGATTATATTTAGTACATCAAACAGCTAAATTAAATAAGATGTATTTTAAGCTAACGATTTTTAAAACTATCAGCAAAGGTAAAGCCACAATTTACTATTCAAACCTACTATTTTTTCATAATAATCTCGTCTTCTTTCTGCTCTTCTTTTATAATCTACCATCATTCCTCGAATTTTCTTTTCTTGTTTTCTAGCCTCATGCCACATCTGTAAGGAAAACAAATTGTTAATTATGCATAATTTTACGAAAAGATTAATTTGAAAGTGCAAAATTCAATTTTTAGAATAACAAAGAGAAGGCCCAGGTGAAAAAAGCACAGAAAGATTAGAACAAATATTTTTCAAACCGTTTAGCAGGCTGATGTATAATACAGAAGATAATATTAGTTCAATTAAATTAAATTCTTCACGATACTACAATTCTTCATCAAATCCTTTTAAAACAATATGGCTACCGCTACTGAATAAAAAATAAAACAAAACAAAAACAAAACTGTAAATTGTAGAGTTGAATAGTTTGCCACCTTATAGAAATTTAGAGCTTTAAAGGGAAACAAGAAGAAAGAAGTTCAATTAATTTATAAATCGTTTGCGAAATTTTTATGAATTTAAAGACTAATATTTTTTGCAGATAAAATTTTTACAAGCGTATTTGAAATTAAAAAAAATTCTGCGGTTACTCAAGAAGACCTTCCAGAAACCGGATGTCAAAAACGTCATTATATTATTTGTTAGTAAACAAATCAGTTTTGGAATCGAACTATTTTTTGTATTTATTTAAAAATCACTTCAAAATATCGCTAAAAGATTCCTATTTATGAATTCTTCACATTTTACCATAATTTATCAGGGCTATGCTTCTCAATATTGTTTTTTTACTATGATTATGATGACTATTTTTCCGCAATGAGATATGTAGTTATAGCTTTAATTTGTGCTTTCATATCATGCTCTATTTATTGGTATTCTTGTTTTTTATCAAAAAATGATGAATATTTAAATCTTCCTGATGTGACTAGTAAAATAGGAAGCATATTCGCAAAGTTGGATGTGAATAAGGATGGTGTCATTAATGCATCTGAATTTTTTGCTTTGAGTTCTGACTATATTATTTTACAGCGAGTTGAAGATAATTCTTTTACTAGTTGTGTTGTGAGTCTTTTAGTTTTAATTTACTGTATGATTATTATATCTATTTTTGTAATATCTGTTTAATTATATTTCTACGAAGCTCGTTCTTTGTTTTTAAAATTGTCTTTCTTCCAATTGTGTTCCATCATATTTGATTAATTTGTATGGATTCAAATTCTTAAGACTATTCACGTTACAAACAGCTTTAAGTTATAAATTTTACCAAAAGATCTCAATTTTTGTTTGAATTCTATTTCTTTTAATTAGGTTTTTAAATAATGATTCAAACCCAATTAATTAATTTGTCTGATAAAATAATTCACTGTATTAAAATAAGTGTGGAACAGAGGTCCATGAGAAACCAAAAAAGAAACATCACAAAAGGAAACCAAACAGAAGGGTATAGTTTGCAGCAACTCCCATTTTTTTTTTTAGTGCAAGTGTTAGGTGATAGCTCTGTATTATTGCCCGTTCAGGGGAGATTTCTGTATCGTGATCTGTGGCAGAATAATCGCCAAGTCTTGGAAACTTCTGGGCAGTGGCCCCTCGAGAAACTAAAAAAAAACATCACAGAAGGGGACCAACTCGAAAGGTATAACTCGTAGCCACCCCTGGGCAAACATCTACACGTTTTTTGTTTTTTTTTAAATGCAAGTTTAAAATCTATTTGGCACCTTGCCGATTGTAGTTGGCACGATACGGAAATATCTCCCCTGTTCACGGCAATTACTATTGCCAAGGTGCCAAAGGGATTTTAAATTTTCAAAACATTTTTTTTTTTAATTGCTTTGTTGATCTTCTTCTGTGATGTTTTCTAGTTTCTCATAGGCCATTACTTTGAAGCCATCAAAACTTGATATTCATTTTGTCATAGGTGCCAATTCAAGTATATTCCTAAATTTAAAATCCCTTTTCTACCTTGGCGACTGTATACATGGAAATATTACCCAATGATGCTCGTTCCATACTAAAATATGACCACTTGAAGATCAAAATAATGTTTGGATCATTCTTAGAAAAAGCAAATATATCTATCACTGATGCTCTTAAAAAATATTTAAATTAATCTGAATGAGCAAAAAATATTAATTAAACTTGAAAAATACATTAATATTGTAAATTTTACGAAAACGAAAAAAAAAAATTTATTTTAGTGTTTACAGATTAGTGATGTCTGTGTGTTTTTACTTCTCACTGTTTCACAAATTTTCAAGTTTAAAATTAGTAAGAAACATTCAATAATCTCTCAAACATTAAATAGCTATTTCTTAATATAATTTTTGATTGAGAATGTAAATACTGTACTTCGAACAAATAAATATAGATATAAGTTTCAATGTACTTTTAATTTTAGCTTAAATGACTGCAACCAGAGTAATTTGCCATGCTTATGGATAAAAACGAAAGTAGTACTAAAAAATATTAATAAAAGCAATATATATACTGAATCTTTTCTCAAGAAAATATTTTGTTTGAAACAATTGAGAAAAGTTTATAGTTGGGGTTTTACTATATTTACTTTTAGAATTAAGCAATTTTTTAGTATGCATTATTTGATTAGCAATAATATTTGACTTTGATTTTAGAGTGTATTTATTTATTATAGCTTCTTTTTAACTTTCACCATTATTGTTGTTTAAAATTACGTGATTTTGTTTTTATCAATTTCAGTTGAAGGATTTTCCAGAACTTCCTGTTCAAATTGATGAGCAAATAATCAATTTAGAAGTTGGTTTCAAACCTTTAGATTTAAATTCCATGAAGAAGAATGTAACTGAATTATCTAAGGTATTAAAACATTAAATTAATATATTTTATCTGTATGTATTTTTTGTATTAGTATTATTATTCAGTGCCGGATTACCCATTAGGCCAGACTAGGCCATGGCCTGGGGGCCCCAATGATTAGGGGCCCCCTTAAAATGGATTTTTTGAAAATAAATTTTAAAAAATTAAGAAAAACAATGATTTTTTTTTAAAAAATCAATTTCAAATATATATTCAAATTTTTTCAAAATGTTATAATTATTTTTTAGATCTAATTTAACAAAATAAAGTAAAATTTAATTTATTATTATTTATTTTTATTTTAAATATGCTTTCTTAAGTGAAGAGATGTGTGAATACTTTTATAATTGAATAAATTAAAAATATATGAGAAAAACAACTTAATCGAAGGGCCCCCAAAATTTGAATGACCTAGGGCCCCGCATACGCTTAATCCGGCCCTGTTATTATTTGTATATTTGGTGTGTTTTCTGATTTTTAAGATGAAAAAATGCATTTTTATTGTAACCATTTGTTTTTATGAATTAGTATGGATAGTTTCATTAAAAAAAGTAATTAATGCATTTTTATAAATACTTCAGTGAGCTTATTTGATTTACGAATACATTTAAACTTATTTAACATCTAGTTTAACATTATTTTTAAGCATAAAATATTTTTATATTTTATTTATTTCTATATCAAAAAAAAAATTTTTTTTTTCTTTCAGTATTTTAATATTTTTTACTATCTCTTTCATTTAGGATGATATAAATTCATTGCAAGGTTTATTAAATTGGAAAAGCCCATTTAAACCCCAGCTTGGATTTGGTGCCAAATATTTTTCAATATTCTTACCTACTAACTCTCACATCAAAGTTGGTGAACCATGGTGGATATTTGAAGCAAAGCCCAGTGAGTACTTAGGTCCCCTTTCAAGCAGAAGATATTTCCCTCCATGTGTTGAAAAAAAGTTCCTCTTTTTACATGCATTACTTAATCTCTTCCATCCATATCCATTTCTGTGGACAAGGTTTGGCCCCCAAGGAACTGCTGCTGTTATAAGAGCTATAGAAGAAGATTTTTATGATATTGTCTTCCGGTATGAACTTAATTTTTAAAGTTTTTCAGTAAATGAAAACGCTAATTAGATAATGCTTTTTGTAGAGTGAAACTGTTTATATTCTTTTATGATAAAATCAAATAATATAATTAATATATTTATTCAAAGTATATATACGATAGAAAAATATTTGAAAAAGTAACGAAATGATATATTGCATAAGTGCTTTGAAATAATGTAAAAAATCATTTGCTTCTTAGGAAATAAATGGAAAAATACTGTAAGATAGGTAGAGGTGTTTTGAGTTCACGATCTTGATGTTACTCATTATGATGACATTATGAACTTATCATTATGACAAAGCGTGAATTATGAAAGCATAAGCAAATTCTAAACAAGAAAAGACACAGTTGGCAACAAAAAAAGGGAAATAATTGGGAGAACTTTTAGTTGCACTAAACATGTTCTACACTCAAAACATATAGACCTTTCTACTCTTTCTAGCAATATAAATCAGAGTTTGTTTGTTTTTTTCCTTTAGTTTCAAGCTCTAAAATAAATTTTCCATCCGCTTAATAATTTAGTCTCTTTTTTTTACATGCATTATTGTATAAAAATATAAAATAAAAAGGCATTTTTTTTAAGTTATAGACATTTTCAATTTGAAAAAAAAAATTTAAGTCTTTCAAAGAAAATGTCTTTTATCATTTTTTAAAGTAATGTCAAATAGGATTTCAAGAACTTATTTTTTGGTAATAAGATCAAACTTCCATGACTTGAACAGCTTAAACTTGACTAAACAATTGTTCAAGTTAATTTTAAAATCCTAGTGAACTGATCATAAGACTCAATTCCCAATAGATACTGAAATCGAGCATCACTGGCAGAGGTCAGTTACTGAGTGGTAACTCCTTGTTAAACTGTTCTGCTGTAAAATGCTCGATTTTGTACTTAGGTTGTCGGCCTAGCAAAGCAGGGAGCCCTCTGCAAAGGATTAAAATGGTGATCACTTGTCTTTGGATAATTCTTTGGTATGTTACCCAGACCGTCATCAATAGTCCATTGTGCAGCTCTAGTTCAATGTAAACAGAGCATTACAACTACTTAAAATTTGATTGGTCATTTCTTTCTTTTTTTTTTCTCTTTTTTTATGATCCATAGGCATTCTTTCCTCACATACATCTAAACTCATTTGTATGTATAAAAAAATTTTAAACAGGTAACAATATAAGAAAAATTTTAGTTAATACGAAAGCTAGATTTCCTTAAAATTTTCAGAAATAAAATTAAACTATCATTTTCTTGAAAAACTTATCTGAAATCTAAATTTTTCTCTTCTTATTACATTAAATAAGTTTGTTAAAAGTTAAGTTTGAAATCATATCAAAAGAAGCAAAACACTGCCGTTCTCATATTCATAAATAAAAAGTTCATGTATATTAGAAAATTATTTGTAGAAACTCAAAACTTTTGTGTATTAAAAATTTGTTGATTTTTTTACACAAATAAAGGGCTTCAAAGCATGGAACATAAAAAGTTGTATTTCTTTTAATAATTAAATTTATAATTTTTTTAATTGTTGACAATAAATGAAAAAAAAGTTTAATTTTCCTTTGAAACATTTGGACTAAAGTATCTACAATTATTTATTTTTAGTGATACTTTGTCTGTTCTTCTATTAAAAAAAATCTTTTATTTCTTATTTGTCAAATTTTTGATACCTCAATATATTTTCTGTTTGCAGTCATCAAAGTCACCTGCATTCTTTTATGTTACGTACAGTTTAATTGTTGTTATTTATAATCATTATTGTAGCATCTTATTAACTTATTGAATAAAAAAAATTATTTTTTTTATATGTAATTAGCAGAATCTATATATATTTATATTTAACAGAATTCATGCTGAATTTCAACTAAATCAACCTCCTGAACATCCCTTTTGGTTTACTCCATCACAGTTTTCTGGTCGATTGATTATTAATAAAGATGGCACTGTTGTTAAATTTTTTCACTTAGAAGTTCCTAATACTCTGCTCAATGTTGGCAAGTATATTTTAACATTCCTTTTGTTATAATTAATGTCTTAATCAGGCATATGATTTTTCCGCTAATTTACCGAATTTCACGAATCTTAAGAATGTTGATGCGCAGACTTCCGTGAATTGATAATTTGTATTCAGCCAAAATTTCTTGGAGTTCCGCTAATCTAAATTTTAATTTTTGTTACTTGCGTAAAATTTTACAAGCATTTATTTCACCCTTACCAGCACCCTTTTTTCTTCTAGGTTCTCATTCACATGCAATAAAAAAAAAATTCTCTCAAATTTGTTAGAGAAAACGCAACTTCGGATAAACTTCAAGAAAAAAGAAATTCTATCATAACTTTGACTGGAATTAATAAACTACTGAAGCAAATACAAAAGTATAAAATTGGTAATGTTAAATGTAATTCCGAAATGGCAAACATTATCAAAATGCTCCATTGAAAATTAAATTATGTTAAAAAATTAGCCAGGATTAGCATGCTTAGTCCCATTCTAGAAAAGTAAAGTATCAATAGTTAAAAGTACGATAACTTTGAATTAAAATAGACAAAATATTATACAAATCATAATACCCTGAAACAAAGAGGGGATGTATGTAAAAGCAGTTAAAAAAAATAATAAAACGGAAAAAGATCATGTAATATGGAGCAGTTGGGATTGTGGAATTTGTATTTTTAAAAATTGCTCCTTATAAATTATATAATACTTCTTTTTAAAATTCTTAAATAATTATCGTATAATGAGGTAACTTTGTGGGGCAGAAGATAATTATTTACCCCACATATTTTACAATAAAACATCCTCCAAACATTAAGAAACTTTTATGACTTTTCTAACTTGTTACTGTTTCAAAATAAGCTCATCTAAAATTTATAGAATTCTTAATGAAGAATAAAATAATTATTTCACAAATAAAAAAAAATTAAGAAACTTTTTTCAAATAATCGAATATATGCTTTTGCAATCAGCAGAAATAAAGATAAAAATTTGAAAATAAAGGAATAAAATCTCTATTACTTTTCATGCATTAGAATAATGCAACCAAGTTTAATGAGTCACTTGGTGAATATTTTAATATGAAGCTTCTTGCCTGCAGAAATCATTATCTGTATAAAAATAGAAATTATTTTTATCTAAATTAATCAAAACTTTGATTCGAAAAAATTATAATAACTTTTAATTTTATTAGTTTAGAATGAATAATTCATAAAAAATAACAAAAAACATTTAACTAGAAAATAGTTTACTGCACTTATCACCATTAAAGTGATGTGCAGGTTGCAGTGTACACCAACTGCATTGTGTTTCCCATCTCATCACATGGAAGTATATTTAATGCTTGAATTTTGAAATAAATGTTATTTTTGAAAAAAACCATTTTGTTGTTTTTTTTCATCATCAGCATTGGCAAGACAGCCCTTTGTAAGCCTAGGCCTTCCGCAGAAGCTTTTCCCATTCTGCCCTTCTCCCAGCAATTTTTTTTTTTTTTTTTCATCAAGGAAAAATTTTGTCCTACTATCCTCTTCATCTCTGTTGACTCCATTATTATTAACATTTTTAAACGTCATCATATCGAATTTAAATGTCATAAACTGCAAATGATCTGTTTTGTCCAAGTGTGAATTGCTCTTAATTATAAGCAATTTTTTTCTCAGTGGAGACAGTTGCCAGTATTTCGTGAAACTGTGATTTCTATACCACAGTAGCAATTTTTGGAGAAAATTGAGGATACGACTGGGCTTACAGTTGACTTTCTGGCCTCGTTGGCAATAATTTTTATCATGTGATATACCCATTAGGGCATTTTTTTTGTTGTGTAACATTTTTTGAAATCTTAAAAATAATTGCCCTTTCTTGCAGTGTCCATACACTTTAACTGGGTTATATTATTTAACGTGTTACAGTTTCTGAGAAAATCCATTGTCCACCATGGAAGGGAGCTATTGGAAAGGACAGAATTGAAAAAAACTATTGACAATTGAAAAAACAAAAAAAGTCTGGCGACTTAGTAAGTGAGTAGGACTGGAAACAAAAGCATTGGAATTCAAGAAAACTTTAAGGACACATATGTTTCATTAGAAATCTATTCGTAAACACATGGGTTTCAATAGCATATTAAACAGAAATCAATTTATTTTAGCAAAATTCCAAAAACAGCTTAATTTCTAACTAAAAATTCTCTTTACATACATATTTGCATACTATGTATTATCTGAAATTGCAGGAAAAATAACATTTCAGATTAAAATTATTGTTGAATAACAGAAGTATTTTTATTTATTTTATGTGATTTTTTTGCTATTTTTATGGGTGTTTTTAAGGATTTTTTAGGACTTCAAAATCCAGGCTCTAACTTTAACAACACCTAATAACTTTTTGGATTGGACAGTGTTCAATGTACTCTAAATTGTTAAATATTTCTCTCCCCTGTTTCTTATCTTAATTATAACTATTCCATTACCCTATTAAATTCTTGAAAATTAAATTTGACTTTTAATTTTCTATCTTAATCCTTATAGATATGGAATGGTATAATGGGCCTTCAGAAGACAGTATGGAAGTGGACATCGGACACATACCAGAAATGTCTCTAATATCATCCGCTACTTCCTTTCCCTCTTCTAGCAAAAGAGGATTTGAAAAAGACATATCGACCATGAAATGGACGCAAGAAATTCCTTTGCAAGAAGCATTAGGTGCTTTAGAATTAAAATTTTATGCATTTAAGAAGGTATTTAACTTATCATAACTGGTCTACTGTACCTATTTTTATCATGTCTGACATAAAACTTTTTTCAATTAAAATAATAATTCAGAAGGACTTATTTATCCTTGATCAAGGTTAGTCGATAAATAAAGTTGTTAACTGAAGAAGGATAAGAGAATGCTACTTTTTTTTTAACAGAGACATACTAAAAAAATTGACTGTCAAGAGTCACAAAGAATTTAGATTTTGTAATTATTGATAATAACTTAAAACAATATAAATTCATTCCAAAAATTGGAAAACTAAGTATAGTGCGCAAAATAAAAAAAGGACCACCCTGAATAACTTTTGATCTAGCGATCAGATCTTCACGTTCTAGGACCCAATCTTAATGGTTTGACAGGGGGGTCTCAAATATACTAATTTATTATTGTAGATCGTTATTTACAAAATAGACAAAAATATGTATTTTCTCTGTATAAACATACCTTTTTTTCAATGGATTCGAATTTCTGAGCCTAAAATTATATGGGGTTGAAATCAGAGAAATATGGTCCCCATAGTTTGGTCAGGAAACAGTCCAAGGTTTGGATACATTAATGTCAATTTTACTTTTTGTATATTTCGCCATATCTCGTGAGCTTTTTAAGCAAATTGAAAATTTTTTGCTGACAATTATAAAGTTCATTTACCCAAGCAGAATTCCAAGCAAAAAACGGCTTTTAATAAATATTTATGATTTTATTTAATAATAGTCAAAAAAATTTGAATTATAGGTATGCAATTTTTTACATCTTTTCAAAGAATGTAATTTTACATGGCAAAATACAAAGTTTGAGCAAAATCGACTGAATAGTTCCTGAGAAATCGAATTTTAAAGAAGCCGTATTTTTGAAATTAAATTTCTCAGAAACTATTCTACCAATTTTGTTCAAATTTTGTATTTTGTCATGCAAAATTAGATTCGTTAAAATGATGTAAAAACTTTTATACCTTATAATTCAAAGTTTTGACACTTTTCAAATAAAATAATAAAAGATAATTAATATATACTAATAATTATATTTTGCATGCAATTATCTTTAGATAAATGATCTTTATAACTGTGTGCAAAAATTTTTGAATTCACTTAAAAAAAATTTCGAGATATGGTGAAATAGGCAATATAAATTCAACAGACCATATTTCCTAGCTTATTGTGACTACTCCCTCTATTTTGGGGGTCAAAAATCCAAATCTGTCAGGGAAAAAAGGTGTGTTTATTGAGGAAAAGTGCATTTTTGTGTCTGAATTCTTAACTTAAAATATCGTCTGCACTAATTAATTAGCATACTTGAAGCCTTTCCCTCAAACCTTTAAGATTGAATCCTAGAATATGAAGATCCGATCATTAGATAAGTTATTTAGGGTGGACCACTTTTTATTTTGGGCACTGTACAACTATCACGTTTTGTTCTTTAAAAACATTAAAAGTTTACCACACTTTTTGCTCTTTAAAAAGGTTTTATTTTATTTTTTTGGTTGCAAGACAATAATGTTTAAGGGCAATTCCATTTTACAAAGAACAACATAAAAAAAATAAACATTTAATAACTTCCCTTTTTAACAAATTTCTTAGTTTTTATAAACTTTCTTAAATCAAAAATTGTTTTTTATTATTTTTTAATAATAATAATAAAGTTTATTAAAATTTTATAGTTTGTATTTGTTACACCAGTAACATAAGATTTGTAACATCAGCCGCAAGAGCTCTTTTTCTATTTGCCGTATTCTGTATGTCATTTCATGTGTACTTTTAATGTTTCCTGTTAATTCAATTTTTTTAATAATTTAAAAAAATAATCTTATTACTACTTATAGAAGAAATAGAATTTCAAAATAAAAATATGATGTTTCTTGCAATGTTCTTTCTGTGTAACATCAGTCATGTTTTATTATTTTTTTCTAAATAAAACATTTATAATTTTCATCCCTTTGTCATACATGCAAAATAATATTAGTCAATTGAAAAGCATCCCAATCAATTTTTTTTTAAAAAATGTTATGAAAATGCCTGTATGTACACAAATAATGTTATATTTAGTTTTATCAATGTTAACCACGTTATTTGGATTTTAATTTGTTATTGTTATTATCTTCTTATTTAATAGAGCAGAAAAATATATTCTTTGTTTTTCAAATAAAACTAATTGTTTTTTTGTTTTTTTATTAATATAAAATTTTATGGGATTGATTTTCCCTATTGTAAAACAATTACTCTAATCGTTTGAAATTTGTTATTATTGGATTCACTTTTTCATAAATTTTAAATAGAATTTTACAGAGTGATTTAAAACACTGTTTCTCTTATACTATAAACATAGATAGTATGAATAGATTATTTTTCTTCTAGTCATTTATTTATGTATTAAAATTTAAATTATGTTTAAAACTTATAAAAATAAAAACTGTGCTCTTATTTTTAAAAACAAAAAATTATAATTTTTTTTTTTAAAAATTACGAAAATAAGTATTAATTAAAAAAAAATTTATATAAATAAGTTATAATGTTACACTGTTTATACTAAATTTCCATCTTATTTGATAGGTTAAATATTACAGTATGAATGAAGCATTTCAACTAGCAGCAGTTGAATCTAAACTTGTTCATGGCATAGTTTTGTGGGGCAACCTGGATGACCAGTCTTGCTGAGGTTCAGGGCGGACTTTGCGAGAAACTGCTCTTGCTAGTCCGCCCATTCTTCAATATCTGGAAACACATTATATTAGTTTCTGGATTACTGTTGCTGAATTAGAAGTAAGTGATGTATAAGATTTCAGTTCATGATCTATTAAAATCAGGGCTAAATACATATCATTTAATTATTATTTCTTACATTTTAAAAGTTGCTTTAACAACCTATTCCTTTCCGAGTATGTTCTTAATATTTCCGAGTATGTTCTTAATGTTTTAAACTTATAATTGGTGTAGTATGCCGCTAGTTTACTCTGCACTAATTTACTTAAATAAGATCTTTTGCATGGTTTTACGAAAATATTGAATTATAGAAACTAATTCAAATATGTTGAGAATGGTAGGTATAGGATATTTTTTTTAAAAATTATACTCTCTTCTTAAATACAAATAAATCAATCTCTTACACATTTAATGGAGTCACTCGGCCTGTTAAGTATATTAAAGATAAGCCAGTCATCTCATACAAACGAGTTATTGAAATTTTATTTCTATCTGTATAATGTTTTAAGTCTTAGAAAAAAAATCTTAACAATGTTTTATTAATCGATTGAAATAGCAAGAAAAAAGTCCAATCTCTTCTTGCATAAGTAGCACTTTTTCTTTAAAAAAAATTTTTATAAAGTTTTCCTAGTGTTTTACAAACTTTTTCTGGGAAAACTAAGACAGTATTTTACGTATGTGCTTATAGCTTATAATGAAATTTATTTTATTTACCATTATGCCTATGAAGTCTAAATAATATTAACAATTATGCTACTTTGTGACTATTTTTCATTACCAGATACTGGATGAAGAAAACATTAAAACAATTAATAACAAATTCCATCTCCCTTTACTTTATTTTAGCATAAAATTTTATTTTTGAAGAAAATGTGTAGCTTTTAAGTTTTATGTAACTGCCAATTCACAAAAAATATCATATTGGATTTTTCAAAATGCAAAAATAGTAATTTTATAGATTTAATGTATAAATAATTGTTTTCTTTTAGTGTCATATTGTTATATGATAAATAGAATTTTGTCACATAAAATCCAGTATGCCTTTAACAAGAATAATTTATAGGAATAAGTATAAAGTGTTAGTTACCTCAGTTTGTGAACAAAAGTCAATCAATATTTATTTTAATTAAAATTACAGGTGTCCTATCCCTACCTTCTCTTTCATATATTAATGTTTTTTCAATTAATATTTAATAGAATACTTGAGTTGTAACTGGTTTAACAAAAAATATTTCAGAAATTTTTTGTTTGAACAAAAAATTTCAGTAAAGCTTATTTTTTGTTGCGAGATATTTCCTAAAATTCTGATCTCAGAACTTCAAACAATGCATTTACCTTCAAAATCAAGAAAATAGAAATTGTAATTCATTTTCTGCATAAAAATTATGGTTACAAAATCTGATATGAATTTAATTACATATATTTGTCTTCTCATCATGTGATTTTGGAATTTTTAGTTTTCTCCTATTTAATTTCTGTTATTTCAAGTTTTGCTCCTTTTCAACTTTTATTTGCAGCTTAATAAATTAGTTTGCATGTTTGAGAAATCATGCGATTTTCATTGTTTTAAAGCCTTTTTACAATTATTTCAAATTAAATATATACTGCTATTTTTTTTTACTTCTTGGAATCAGTGAGGGAGAAACATGAATCCGAAAAATAATTAGGTATATATATTCTGCTTTGTAGACTAAAGCAAAACATGTGAAAACATGTTACATGTTTTTGCTTTAGTCATGTTTCACACTTGTGAATAAAACACAAATGAAAGTACGGAAATGAACACGCTATAGTTTTGGTTCTTAAACAAGAACCCTCCTCAGTATCTACATAACAAATGATAGTAGAAAAGTAACGAGACAAACATGTGCAAAGTGGTTTATCCAGTGGTAGATGAAGAGCAGTATTGAATGACTTTATCAGAAAAGATTTAGCTGTTTTCTAAAATCATTCAATATTGCTCTTCATCTACTGAACTTGATTTCTGGGCATCATTCCATGTTTTAAAAAATTCTTGCAATTCGGTTAATGATCTTTTTACCATCCCATCGTTTCCCAACATTTAAAAATCTATTCTATTTTAATCTTTTGCACCCTCATACGTGTTTCTTAATTTTGTTCTTTTATCACCTTGTTCAAACTTGTTTCTTTGTCCCTATTCGTTAAACCATTTTGCACCTCTTTGTCTCCTTACTTCTATTGAGACAAAGAAGTATCGGATTCTTGCTTACATCTATGCCTATATATATTTAGCATTTAATGTAGTTCTACTAATATTGTCAAAATGTAGCATGTATCTCACCATTTTGTACATTAAAACAAACAATTTTTTTTTTTTTTTTTNTTTTTTTTTTTTTTTTTTTTTTTTTTTTTTTTTTTTTTTGCACAGTTAGTCAAAATTAATTACATGATCCTGCATTTTATATTGAATAAAAATGAGTCTATAAGATCGCTAGTATTAAATAAACTATGATATTGTCTCAAATTAAACATTTTAAAAAGTAAATGTATATACTAATAAAATAATCATTCTCCGTATAAATTGAAAAATATTCTTATGAACCTTAATTTTTGGCTTGTAAATTGCTAAAAAAAAATTTTTTTTTGCTCTGGCAAAAGTTAAACAACAGATTGGTTCGCTATATTGTATTGATATGAACTTATTGGTTGTTTGTAATTTTTTAATTAATCTATATTTAAAATTTATGTTCTTGGAATTTATCTAGTGGTTATATGTTGTAATCATGTTATGAGTATTTCTGTTGTTTAAATTATTCTAATCAAATATATCTTTCTAAATAGCATTCTTTCAGTTTGTAGCACAAATTTTTAAAGTTTTTTTACAAGCTTACACATATTTACTTAAATATACAATTTTTACTTATCAATGACTACAAAAAAATTATTAAATTTCATATGAACTCAATCTACTTTTGTATAAAATACAGTAAAAAAATAACAAAGAATATTCAAAAAAAAATTTAAGTTCCCTAAAATACTTATCATTTTAAAATGATTATAATTAAAAATAGATTTAATTATAATTTGAAAAAAAAATCTGTATAATTGCAAGAAAATCTCATTTAAAATTTGTATTGTTGCATTTTATTATCTGTTTCATTGTTTCAGACAGTATAAAGCATTGAACATGCTATGTATCTTTGATATATGTATAAATTTTACCATAGCTTTTTAAGAAAGTATTCTTGCTTCATATGGTGTGATTATAGATTGTGTATGCTGACAAAACATATAAAAAAAATTTGAAGTTATTTTTTATACCTTTTGCAGAATTACTTTTCAACCATTTTCAAGGATTTCTTATTAGTTTACTGTAAAAATATTGTATAGGGATCATTTTTCATGACGAACTTAATGTTCTTTTTTTCTTTTTAGAAAGTTCTGAAAGAATCATTTGACTCAATATCATTAAATTACGCTCAAGCTTGTTTGTCTGTTTATGAGTTTCCTGTTGAAGTTATAACTTTTCATGCTAATGCAAGTGTAATTCATCATTTAAATGCTAATTATTTGTTAGGTATGATTGATGCTGAGAATTCTTACTTTTCGTAAGTATTGTTCTCATTATTCAAATTCCATCATTTTTTGCTGTAATAGTTTACAATCAGGGGCCCTCACATTTTTGGCGATTTGCAAATAAACAATATATATGTAATTAAAACAAGAAACAATCACATAAAGATAAACTAGAGTTGCAGTAAACCGGAACTGACGTCACTGAAAGCAAAGACTGCAAAGTATATATCATAACCAAAAATGGGATTTCAGCAAAACAGAATGAAAATTATCACCAAACCAAGGGGCTCCGGATTCTACACTAGAGCCTTTTTTGCTTATTAAATATTAGAGGTTAAGCCCCCTATTTACTGTGCATGCCAACTCAATGATAACTTCGTAATAGTTGTAATTTCATAGCATAAAAAAGTTTTTTCTATTAAATTTGAAAAGATTCACTTAAAATATATGTTGTTTAAAGAATTCTGTTTGCTTAAGGTTGTGCTCCAAAGTCCTTCATCCAACATTCATTTCTTTAAATTAAATGTTTATTTTGAGTCAAATTAAATGTTTATTTTGAGTCAAATTAAATGTTTATTTTGAGTCAAATTAAATATTTATTTTGAGTCAAATTAAATTTTTATTTTGAGTCAAAATTGAATGGTAAATAGTGTGAAAGATTGTGTATCCTTTCCCTTGTGATTCTATTAAGATCTGTAATTGAACATAAATAATTTTGATTGGTAATCACTTTTAAAAATAGCGTTTAAAATTAACAGTTCATTGTTATAACAAATTTGGTAATTTCACAACTGCCGTTCAATATTTTCACTTACCGAACAAGCTAATATATATTAAATACAATTTCTGCGTTCATCACATTGTACATGACGTTGATTGTCAAGTTCTGAATCATTAAATGAATCTCTTTAACGGAAATTTATTATAGCGTATTAATGTAATTTACACCAAAAAATATTAGTTGCAAAACTGTTTATAAGTTTAATCACAATTCATATAAAATCTTAAAATGTAGAATTATAGGATACTATCATAGAATTATGTTATAGTACAGAAGCAGCAATTTTCATTTTAAACTCTTAATATAGTAAACAACCTAAATCAAAAACATAATAATAACAGAATATAACAAGAAAAGTAAACATTATTAAATTTAGGATACAAAAATATTTTCAGGTCAACAATACTGTTATGATTGAACTCGAAATTGTAGAGCTCGCTGGTGTGGGAGTTCTAATGAAATATATCTATATTGAATATTTTAAGTATTTAAAAATAAAATCCTACTTTGTTTAAGCTTTTTTTCTTAATTAACATTTAATATATATTCTAATTGTATATAAAAATTTTATGACGTGTCATAGTTTTTATTGTAGTATTTTACAGGCCGAAAAATCACATAGTAGAACCCAGTTTTCCTAGATTAATTTCCATTTTTTTTTCTGGTTGTCACCAGCATAGAATTAAATAGTTATATTAAATAGCTTGTAAACGAATACTATTATTTAAACTAGAATTCAATTATAAGCTGTTTGAAAAATTGTTTTAATATTTGATATTTCCTTTTCAAAGAGTTTCTTTCATTTCTTCCACTTGGGTTGGAAGTAACCTATTTCTTCCAGGACTTTTTTTTTCCACTGTTGAAGAAATTTTTCACCCCCGACAACTAAAAACTACCATTTTAACTATAATGGGATCTGGTAAAATTTTATTTGTAATAGTTGTTAATTATTTTGCTCAGAAATGTTGACTTTTTAATTTTATTATAATATTTTTTTAAATAAAAAAATGTAATTTTTAATTCCATGACCTTGTTTCTCACGGCAAAGTACTTTAATATATCCAATAGTTTTCTATTATTCAGTCTTTTAACAACTGTTACATTTAACACTTATTAACTACTATAAATGAGGAGTTTTTTTTTTCAATTAAAAAACTGTCTTTCGCTGTAAAACTCTTTTTAGGTTTTCATTATTTTCTTCAGAATAGTAATAGCAAAGGGGGGGGGAGAAACATGGTACTATTGAAACATCAGGTAGTGTAGACATGAAAACTAAAAATTACATTTTTACTTTGAAAACCAATGCTATGATTGTGTAAGCTTTGATCACTATTACACAAAGATTATTAATACAATTTGATGAATTTGTAACATATTAGCTCCTTATCTTAGTGACTTTTAAGTATAAGACTTCCTGCAAATCTTACTGAAACCTTCTGCCATAAAATAATTTTTTGTACACCAACAGCCGCATATGTATGTCTGAAAAGAACTTCATCAAAGTCTCATTTCATTTAAAATCATGCATTGAAAACAAATCTAGTTTTACTTTTGTTCATTTAATTTAATATTATCACAAAGCAAATGTACATTTTTTTAGCTTTAAAACACATTAAATCTCTCTAAATTTCATATTTCAATTTTGCCATTAAAAGGCCGATTTAAATTGCATAGTTACAAAATCTACCAGGAAATTTAGTATACTAGTAGATTTTGTCAGTTCCTCACGATCTTCTTTTTAATCAAAAATTATCTTAATTATACATATTTTAAAAATTTCCCTAAAAGTTGGAAAGTTCAGGAAAAAATTTCTATCAAATATTTTTCTTCTGCTTATTGCTTGTTTGACAATTTAAAGTAAGTAATATTAAGCTCATTAGTCTCTAAAAATGTCAATAAAGATTTCACTGTTGCCAATACTACTGAAAAACCCAAAATTTTACTAAACTTTGCTTTTTTTCCCCTAGTTTTCTGGTGAATGAATCAAAAATTCTCCCGGTTTTTTAAAAAAAGTTCCTATTATTAGAAAAGTTTTTTACAGGATTCTGAGCAGCTATTTTTTCTCTACTTATTGTTTACTTGAGAGTTTTAAACATGTTATTATGGGTTGCATAGTCACAAATGCTACTGAAAAAAAAGGCTACAAAAGTTTGCTAGCTTATTTTGGTTTTCTCGAATCAAAACTTCCCAATAAATCTCAAAAATCTTAATTATCTTTAATGATGGAAATCAAATTAATGAAAATCATAAATGAACAATTTTATTTGCAATTCAAGTGCTTTTTTGTGTTTTAATTTTTTTTTTAAAAAAAACTGGAATGAATATTGTTTCTTGTTCTATAGAACTCAAGACCCTCTGGAAAAACTTTATTTGGATTTTCTGGAAAAGGGGCTTTCAATGAGTAAAAATGAAGAAAGTAATGTTAAACAGGAATTATAGCTGCTTTTGATATTTATTAATTATGTATTGAAATTGCATTTAAGATGTTTGCTTCATTATAAGTAAACACATTCCATTCTAACTGTGATAAAAGTTTAATAATTTACTAAAAAAATTAAACTGATAAATTATATTTAAATATTATTTATTTTTCTCATTTAATAATTTAAATCTCATTTTTAACTTTGCTTTTAGTTTTAAATTTTGCTTTAATATTGTTGAGTTTAAGATATCTCTTTGATAACTATATGATAAATTACTATTTATGAATTTTTATGTATGGAGTATAGTTCAAAAACTTTATTTTAATTTAATGTAGTCTTTATTTTAATGTAATCTTAATTTTAATTAATATGCTCTATTTTATTATAAGTTTAAAAGAAAAATTTAAAAGCATTGGTTTAGTTTGAATTATGCATTTAAATCAGATTTTTTTTAAAAAGAAAACTTTATTTTTGAATCAGTTTGATCTGATAAAATTGCCAAAGTTGGAAACATTTATATAATTCAATTATTTACATGGTGATAAATATATTTAATCTTTTTATCAGAAAATATTTCACTTTGAACTATTTATTATTATAAATAAGAATGACTGACTTATTATCAAATCATTGTTCTTAACAGTACTGCAATAATCTGCTGTGAATTTATGTATGGCTAATTTTTTATGCTAAACTGAGTAATATTGTTATTTAATGTTGATTACTTATCAATAATTAGTTTTGAAAATAATATTTGTATAAATTTATTAATTATGTATCATTTTAAAAGTTTATTCCTGTTGAAATGAAGTTTATGTATCAGTTACTAGGTGCATCAATGCCATTTTTTTTTTAAAAAAATAAAGAGTTTTAATTTTTTTTTAAATTCCAATTGGATATTAGCTTAATAATATCCTTGTTAAAACTATTATTAAGAGTGTCCTGAATAATATTTAATATAAGTAACTTTTTTTCAATATTGTATGTACTTTTGTTATGAAGAAAATGAACTCCAAGTGCTGCTGAAAAAGATTTTTAAAGATAGGCAAACTATAGCTAAAAAAAATATTTTTTTCAAAATGATTAAGCTAATCAATTTTCTTTTACTCAGATTTAGATTTTTTTTAGATATTATTTATCATTTAGAATGTCGATATCACTTCTAGTTTTGTGGCCTTTATTTATTAACTTGGAGTCAAGTTTTACTAATTTCTTTGTTTTAAAAATTTTCTTTTCTTAACTGACTTTTTAGTTAACACTTTGCTGTTGTATTTTGTTGATAATCAATAGAAATTGGTGGCAAAGAACTGTCATATGACTGCTAATGATTAAATATTACTTATTCTTTATCTTATTTTGAAATTTTTGAATGATAAGGCAGCATGATTGAGTCTTCCTGCACCTGTTTTTTTTTATTATGTTAGTGTTTTTAATTAATTGTCAGCAGCTATCTGGAGTTCAATAGTTACTGGCACTAAGAATTTATTGTCGTTATTTTTGATATACGAGTTTTTAATTTTTTAAACTAAAGTTCATTTTATTTAAAAATATTCATTAATTGTAATGATATTCATTTGTAAGATAGTTTAAAGCAAATTTTAAAAAGAAATTGATAATTTAAAAGCTTAGTTGTCTTTAAATTTATTTGTTAAATAATTGTTGAAAATGTTTACACCGAAATGTGAATCCTGTTTTTCTCTTCTATATTTAAACCATAAGCTTATCTAATTGTTTGAAGGTTAGTAAAATTATTAACTTGATTCAGTATCTTTTCTATAATGCACATTTTAAAGGAAAACTACAATCTGAAAATGTAATAATATTAGGTATTTCAATATTAAAGTTAGTTACTGAAAAATATTTTGATTTCAGTCATTTTTTTTTTAATATTTAAAATTAATTTTTAAATTTCTGATTCAGAGAAATTTTCTTTTCCTTTTTTTAAAAAAAAAATTAAGAGGATTTAAACTTTTAAAGGATTCAAATAAATTCTTTTTGAATAACTTAATTTTACTTATCGAAATTCTTAGAATTTTATAAAGAAAAGGAAAATAGTGTTCTACAATTTCTTGCTTTTTAATCTGATTAGTCATTTCAATTACTTCAATTATCATCAAATTTTGAAAATTCTTACATCTACATTTCTCCTACAAAGTATTTATAACATAAGATACTGCTATACTTAACTACTTATTCAGGCAATCATTCTATTTTTTTAAGCTTGAAAGTTCTTATTGATATAAGCTTTAGAAAAGCTGCACCTTACAAATATTGTATGCAAATATTTATGCAAAATATCTCAAAGTGCAATAATACTTTTTGCAAAAAAATATTGCACCCATAGATGCTCTTTTTATGAAAAAATATCACTTCACATATGTCATGTTATTACTTATAATCACTACTACTTCTCAGGAAAAGCAATTTGCATTTTATTAAACAGATTACTACATTTCCTTTTTTATTTAGCTATTCATTTTACGATTTTTTTTTATACACTTTGTCAATATTTTGACTTTTTTTTATTTGTTTTACTCATAGTCAACCTTATTGCAATTAATTTTTTCTAAAATAATATCATTAAAAATTTTAATGATTTTTCATAAAAACAACTATTAATCATTTTGTCTAACTTTTGCATTGACTATCAAGTTGTGGCTAAAACTGTATCCTACATATGCATTTCTCAATCTGCTTTATTATATTTTAAGCTACTGCTTTACTATTTCACTAAATTATTGCTTATAACATAAAATTTCACATTTTCAACTACTCTCAACAAATTTGAACTTTTAATATTCATGTATTTATAGAATGATCTCATTGTTCTTATGCACTATAGTCTCTGCCTCTGTTTAGCTTTTGGCTGCAAAGCCAATTTGATGCATTTTTCAAAATTATATAAGAGAGACTAAACATATACTTAGTTTCTCCACAAAAAAAATATTGGTAAAAAAAAAACTTCTTTTGTGGTTCGAATAGTTTTTAAAAAGTGAAGAAATATATTTATAAAGGAATTTTAGTAAAAATGGCAAAATTGTGAAAGAACCTTTTCCCTGATGGTTCACAAATAAACATAGGGCTCTCATAATATTTTCAAACAAATGAGCTAATTTCGAAATTAAAAAATCTCATATACAGCTTACAAATCAGTATTCTAGTGTATTCTTAATAACAATAAAACATTTAAATTGGAGATGAAACATTGTGAATTAATTTAGGAATTGCTACATAATTAATGATATATTTTTTATGCTTTTATAATACATGCTCAAGTAATTTTTTTCTTAATCATCCGTCTATGGTAAATTCTCAATTTATGAAAATGCAGGTATTTAAAGTTTTGTATTTTTTTAAAGTTAAAATTCAACTTATTTTGATTTATTATGTGTATGGAAAATAAATTACGATTGTTTTTCAAGTCCAGAAAAGTTAGTACTTAGCTTTTATATAAATAAAATCTTTTTCTTCTTCGGTTTTAACCGTAAATACATACGTTTTTCTCTTATACCCACTCTTGACTGACATTGAAAAAACAATGTTCCTTAAATGGCTATTTGCTCTGACAACTCAAATAAAACAGTTATCTCAAACAAAGGTTAGAGATTCAAATAATCGTTAGAGCTAACCCACGTTTAACAGTTTATAAAAGAAATATTAATAACTAGTACCTGTCATCCGAATTGATTGAGTGTCTACTATATTTAGATTCAAAATTAGTACATGTGTTGTTGATCGGTGTTCTAAGAGTGTTAATTGTAATTTTTTATAAATTTATGATATACATATGTCAAGGTACCTTAAAATATTTTGCAATGTTACATGTTTTAAGTAGTATTGTTGAGTAGACGAGATTATTGTAAGTGTGTTTTGATGTGAATTAAATGTTTAATTTTCTGTGTGATGATTTATTAAAAATCATTTCTATATTTTTATCACAATGCTTGTATTATTTGTATTTTTATTACATTGTAGTAAATTATGATGTCTCATTAGAAAACATTCAATGGGTAGTGAGACGGATGCTGATACCACATTGTAATTTGGCACAAATAGTACATTTAAAAATTGCAATATTTGACCGTACCTGTTATATGATTGTTAGGTGTTCTAAAAATGGCTGACAATTTGAAAAATAAATTTTAAAAAGATTGTAAGAAATCGAAAGTTATTGTTTGTTGAGTTCAGTTTTTCTCATAAAATTTCAAAATTAGTTACTAAGTTTGTCAACAGATGGCATTGCTAATTATAAGAACTCTGAAACTATATTTTCTAATACATGTCATCATTCTAACTTAAACATTTGCATGGTTAATTATACCTTCATACTGTGTCGTATTGTTGCTGCAAATTGTGGATATTTTGTATATATTGCTTTAGAGTTTTTCCTCAGCAATGCAATCTGCTGAGGAACTTTGCAATTATTTTTGAACTTGGTAAGGGTAAGATATCTGGTTTCCTAAAGAGAATGCAGCATACTGTACATTTCCTTCTGTTATTTTTTAAATTCATATTATTATAAAGCTTAACTAGCTATTCCGAAGTATAAAAATGTCTACATCAATTACAATCTAAAGAACTGTCAAATTTTGCAATTTTTCTTTGGATATGTTAAATTATTTATTACTTGTCTAGATGAAGTCAGTGTGGAATGCATGAAGAGTATTATATTACATATTTTAAATTTTTATAGCTTTATGTAGCTTAATAATGTGTATTTTTTAAAATATATAGCTGGATGGATTTATATTATGGCCTATGGCGAATTTACTTTGTATACTGCTATATATCTAAAGCTTCTTTCAATTTCCTAAGCACAATATTGATTATCAATTAAATTGATAAACATTTTAGAGCTTGGCTCAAAATAATTTGTTATTTATTCTCAAACTTTTATGCTGATTATTGTTGAATAAAAATATTTTATAAACTTTCTTATTTGACTGAGTGTAGAGTATTATCTCATTATACGACTGAATGTAAATGATGCTGTATCAATAAGATAAATCAGTGTTTCCCAACCTTTTTTGAATGGCATTAAAAATATCTGGAGTTATTTGTGGCACACTTTGAATAAAAGTATTTTAATTAAGGGCTAAACTTTTGTGGCACATTTGACATTGGTAGGACACTGGACCCATGTCGAAGAGATCGAATCCCGGCAGAAGACTCCCTGTGTAGTAAATGGTGACTGATGCACTTTAAATGTGTCAGGTCACAAAGTCCTCCATGTTCCCATAACAAACCAATACCTCTGGGGGTACTGATCCAGGAGCTCCCTTGTCTTCTGGATTGGGATCAAAATCACAAGGATATGGAGTTGAACATTGGTAGTCTTAAACCCAGAATTGGGTCGACTGTTCAACGACGGTTATAAAGTAAATAAAAAACTGTGTGCACACATACTGCGAAATACTGGAATAAATGGTTGAAGTCAGACTGCTTAATGCATGTCCCAAATTTTTCTTTTACAAATTATGAAGATATAGGTTGAACTAAGGACGATGTGAGATCTGGAAGATTTTAACTTGTTTTTTTTTTATAATTTAGCCCTTTAATTTATTAAAATACAGGATGATTCATTAAGAATTATACAGTTTGAATGCATTGTAAATCAAGAACAATGTAAGATATACAATGTTACCTGCAATAGAATTGTATGGGATTATTTTAAGTTTTGTTTGAGACAATCTCAGATATTCTACATGTATCCCCTCTAGTTACACAACACACATTGAGCTGGTAATCCATTTCTGCCCAAATGTGTGTTAAGGTATCTGAGTCAAGTCTATGGATAGTGATAAAACTCACTTAGTTTTCACAGATGATGCAAAACTCCAATGTCACTGGAAAAGTAAACCAGAAAAATGTTCACTTTGGGGGAACAAAGAACCCAAATTCACAGAGCAGCATACGTGAGATTCCCCTAAGGTAAATGTGTTCTGTACAGTGTCCAGAAAGAAAGTGTTTGGTCCCTTTTTTAGTATTGCATAAGTTATAAGTTTTTAATTAAAATATCACACCTGTCTGATTTGAGATTTCAATATATTTTGTGATATAATTAATATTTCATTGTGATATTTAATGATAACTTATAACAGTGAAATAATTTTGCTTACAATGTTCACCCTCTAACGTTATTCAAAATTTTACGAGTGAAGAAACACAATTAATACTAAATATTAAAAACAGGAAGAAGTGTTATGCATGTTGATGTAAAATAATCTTCAATTAGGTAAACTTTGAAAAGCGTAAAAGAAAAGTACCTTTTTGTAACCTTCAAACAACTGAACAGTGCATTTTGACCATAATAAGGTATTTTAAACTTTGAATGAACTTTTTATTTTAACCAATCACTTTATTTTCTTACTTACCCAACATGTTTAATTTCGTGCAAGCTATGAAGCTTTGCTTTATTCAGGGAATTTGCCAAATCTTAAGCTTTTAAATCCATGACTTCTACCAATGACTTTCACAATATAATGCATTATTCAATTTAGTCGTATAAAAAATTAAATTTTTTTTCTCAAAACTATTGTTTTAGCCGAGTAATGCAATAATTACAACATGGATTTAAAAATATTTAAGAATGCCTTTAAAGAATATTTAAAAAAGTTAAAATCTTTTTATCTGGCAAACTCAAATTTGCTATTTTCAAAAGGTCAATTCAAGGGATCATGTTAATTTAATTTCAAAGAAACATAAGTTTCAACGTCATTCCAAGCACTATCAAATTACTTTAAATATATCCAAAAAAAAATTTAATTCTTACAGACATTAATCATGATGTGTAATTTTTAAATTGCACGAATATGGATTGATCGAGAAGTTTGCTTTTCAAGTCCCGTGAATACAAACCGCAATATGTGATTTTTAAAATTGCAGGAATATGAACCACAATGTGCGATTTTTTTAAATCACACAAATGCGGATTGCGATAACTGATTTTTAAATTGCACAAATATGGATCACGATGTATGATTTTTAAATCATGTGAATACAAATCGCAATGTTGGATTTTCTATTTGCATGGCATGATTAAAGGCTCCAGTACTCAAATTCCAAATGATAAACTGTGATTTTTCAGCATTTATCACTGAAGGTTGAAAACCATTATTTTCAATGACTTTCCAGGTGCACAGATACCCTGTCTTTTAGCTTTAGTACAAACAAGACTAAAAAAAAACCAATATTAATGAAGGAATAATCATAAAAAATAAGCTACTTTTTAGTTGTTTTGAGAGTTTAGACACAGAAGACTGTTTTTAGAAGTTTATGGTAAGTGTGGAATGAGTATGTGAATTGTTACTACAGTTAGATATATAATGAGCAGACTTTTGTGGAAGCAATAGAAGGTTCTATAAAAAATACATCAAACAGTAAAATCATCTGTAGCCCAAAACTCTTGATCTAGAAAATATTAAGTGAAAAAAATAATTTTTTGAATTTTACATTTTCAGAAGTATTTTCTTTTTGAAATTTATATTGAATTTAAGACCTGTTTAATCAAGTTTTTGATTAAAATAGATTAAAAAGACTTTTGGGGTATCAAATTATTTTATTATTATAATTTATCCATATCTTTGAATCTAAATTTTAACATAATAGACTGTTTCATATCATTTGCAGCCAATTTATATGTAAAAATTTGTTCATTTGTAGTATCTCAATTCTATTAATAAATATATGACTATTTTAAAAACTACTCTTGATGAATTATTTTTTACTTCAATACATTGAATAGAATTTAAAAATATGATTACAGAAAATATTTTAATGTTCTTGATCTTAAAGCTTATTCTTACACATCTATTACTACATGTTTTTAAACCAGTATTTCAATTAAGAAAAAGTAAAATTTTAAAAATAAATAAATTTTTTTATTAGTTTGACAAAAAGGTGGGAACTCTGATATATTCTGAGTGCAAGATATAACTTGTAAGGATTAATTTCTTTAATTTTTATTCCTGAGAAAGAAAATGTTCGTCACCAGACATTCATAATAAATACAAAATATACATTTTATAAAAAAACAAGACGACTTTATTTGTATAGAAATAGAAAATAACAGGCACTCATTTATAAACAATTTCAGAAACCATATTTAATTACATTCTCCGCTGGCTTAAAACAAAAAAAAACTATTATTCTACAAAATATAATAAAAATAACAGAATTTGTTTTTCACTAGAATGAAAGATTAAAAATTAAATTTATAATAAAAGATCTCACTAATGAAAGATATTTCGATTCATAGAAAAACATGCAGTCATTCATTCCATTTAATAGCCTTTTCAACATTTAGAAATAACAGATAAATGATCAGTATATAGTGTAACCCAAAACATGCAACTTGATAATCAACCACTATAATTTCACAAAATGTAAACAATTAACAATTTTTACTCGTTCACAACAACTTTCCTACGACAAGCAGGAGAACTCTCTGATCTAGAAACTCTCTTTGATAATTTATATGCATTCGTACCTGAAAAAGAGTTTCTCTTCCCTTTCTTCAGTTTTGGAGTCTCTTTCTTTAACTGCCAAGGACTCTTGGTACATCGTGTTGGAGAGATTGATTTCTTAAACTTCTTTGGAGAAACAATGTTGATTTCCTCAATTCTTGGTGTAGTATTTGTCACTTCTTTTAAAGCTTGCATTGCTTTTGGTGAAGGTGTATTGAGATCGGTCAAAATAAATTTTGGTGGGGGAGGTAGTGGGGACTTTTGAAACTTGATTCTGCTTTTCGCTGAGCTGCCTCTAGTTTCAGATCCCAGATTTCTAGAATTATAGACCTTCCTAGCAGAGTAACATTGTTGAGAGGGTGTTTGTAGCAAATTTGCATTCTCTGAGCCTTTCTTTTTACTGGAATTGGAGTGAACACTCTTTGCTTTATCATACAAATCAACTTTGGCTTGAACATGGCCAGTATTGTTTTTCAAAATCATGGCAATACTTTCTCTTTTGTTGAACACTTCGTCATGGGGAGGAGAAAGAATACTCAAAAAAGCATTACCACTCATCCATACTTCAGATTCTGGACTAACAGGTTTGTTTACAGGAGTTTTGAAACAACTGTCATTCATCCTTTGATTTCCATAACTTATATTCATGTTTTGCTCACTAGTATTGAGTGGGCTCTTAAGTTTTTCACAGTTTAATGATGTAGTAGAAAGATTAAGTGCATTTTTCTGCTTTTGGTTAACTTTAAGATCAAAAGTACTTTCACAAGTTGAAATCTTTGGCTTCATTTCATCACAAGAAAATGATTTCACACGCTTTGGATTTGAGCGTTTCTTCATAGGTGGAATTTTGCTTTCGGACTTACTAGACAATCTCTTACGTTTCTTCAGCAAAGGAGTTACATTATCAGCATCTTTTGTAATCAGAAAAACGCCTTGTTCTTTCTTCACTTTATTTGGTGTAAAATCGACCTTTTCAGCGTCTTTATTTGTTGTTTGACGAGTGATATTTCGTCTTCCCTTCATTCCATCTGGTGTAACATTTTGTTTTAAAATTGATACATTGTCTTCAGAACACATTCTTTCATTAGGATTAATCTGTGCAAAATTATCAGGAGAAAACAATGTAAAATTTTGAAATAAAGTGGTTAAAGACAAATCTAAACTTTGAAGAACAGGACTTTCAGCAATCCTGGTTTCATATTTTAACATTTCTTCTTGACTTGCTGAATCTAAAGTAGGAGAATTGAGCACAACATTAGAATCATTATAAATTCGATTAGAATGTAGTGATTGAAGACCATTATTTACAGAATTTGGTCGTCCTCTTATTAGAGAGCCATGCCTAGTTCTCCTTTTCATACACTTTTGATCAGCAATACTTCTTTTATTATGTGAGATTCTGGCAGATTTTGAGCTGACACTAGCACGGTCTCTCAATTTTGGTGTTAAATCATTGAAATGCTGTTTGTTTTTACTCTCAGATTCTTCAAGTTCAGAGCTATTTTTTGTAAAATTATTTCTATTGCATTTTGCAATGAAAGCTTCTTGCCTTTTCATTCCAAGATTTAGTATGGTTCTATCATAATTAAAGGCTCCATCGTTTTGAAAAGCATTTAAAATCATAGAAGAATCATTCTTAGATTTTTTTCTAATCTGATCTCTAGAGATTGAAGCATTCCGTTTCACAATCAGAGTGTTTGAAGGCAATAAACGTGGACTTCTTCTCTTTGGAATTGAAATATCTTCACAGCCTTTCTGTTTTATATCAATTTTGCTATCTCTTTTTGCTTCATTGTCCCTGATTCCCACTTTGTGGTTGTTTTGAGACATCATACCATGATGGGGAATATTTTGTTTTATGTCTGTGCTTGCTTCAGACAAGTGTTTCATAAGAGTAGAGTCTTTTGCACGGCTTGATGTCCTTTTTACTTTCTTATTTCCATCCGAGCCTGCATCTAAAACAGTTGCCTCCCCCAATTCTGAATTACTTAATGCCTGAGATCTTAAATTATGTCTCGACGTTTGACGTTGCTTTGCTGGAAGACATCCTTGAGATGATGATGCAAACAGAACTTGTTGCACAGAAAGTTCAGGTTTGTTTGAAGGTAACTGGCCATCAGAGACAGATTTCTTAATGCTTTTGGATTGTAAATCAACTTTAGAAGACGGGAATAGTTCATCTTTTGGCAATTCTAGATTCGTATTCTGAAAAGTGTATTAAAAAAAGTGTTAAATGATAGTGTCCTAACAATTGTATAAAATTCATCAAAAAATGAATTAAACAATTTATGATATTGACTTAAAAAACAAAAGACATCTATATGACAAATATTGACTATTATTTAAAAATATAATTTACTACAGTACGGTTCTAAAAGAAATTTAGAGTTGAGCAAACAAATTTGTGAATTTTCATTGTTTCACAAGACCTCCAAATCTTGACAAACATTTACAATAATATTGCAAGCTTGTCTAAATTCAGTTGCAATTAATATGAGGATGCAGTTGTTCAGAAATGTATAAACCAAAAGCTTTCTGCATGCAAATCAGATCAAAAATTTTTTGCAATATTATTGGCAAGCTAATAAGTCAAATTAAAAATAAAAACACTAACACTTAAAAATGAAAGCACTATCTAACACTATTTATGACATTAACAATACTTCAAAAATGAGTGGAGAATTTAAAAAAAGTTAAAGGATATTTTATAAATCAGTTTGATCTAAAGTAATAAAAAAATAATAAATGGCTTAGTGTAAGTAATCGTAAGAAGCTAATAATTACACGCTACACTTATTTATTTCCCCTCAAACATAGTATTATTTTGGGCTTTAAGAAAAATTGAAGTTGAAGTACATGAAAAATTGAAATATTCCCAATAAACTAGAATTTTATGAATTTCACCAATAAGAAAAGTTTACTTACTTTTTGTTTATTTTCTTTGGTACATGCAGGTGACTTCCTTTCTGGCTGTGAAAGTTCTTGTGATAATTTACAAGACTTAAATCTGCAAAATAAATAAATAATGTAATAAGGAAATATGCAGTTTCCTTTGTGAAAAGGCATCTAAATCCTATAATGAATTGAATTCAAAGTAAATAATGAAAGGGCTAAACTTTTAGAAAAGGTTTAGGTCAATTAAAAAACATGAGTGAGTTTTTCTTGTGAAGATTTAAAATGAAATGTAAATATAAGAAATAAATTATGATAAACCAAAAGAAAAAAGAACATTTAAATTAAAGGCACTTTTAACATTGAAAACTTAGTAATCACTTCATTTTCTAATAATACCTTGATAGAAGCAAATTTAATAATCATATCTAGACTACCTGACAGTCATGAAGCTAGAGATTATTGGAAAATCTAAATTGTTCATAATAATCAATATAATTCATTTTTCCTAATGAAATATATTTTAACAATTAAAAACTTTCGAGATTAATGTAAACAAATATTGAGTTATCTACAATACCTTTTTCTATCTTTTCGGCGAAGAAGGGCACCAATTGATTTGCGGCGCACATGACCACTAGCATTGTTATTTGGAGGCATGTCTAAAAAAGAAAATACACATATATACATTTTAAATATTTGTAATTTAAATAACTTATCAGACTTAATTTAGTTAAATAAATAGTATACCTTTTTCTTTGGGGGTTACATTTAAAGAAGGATTATCCAAATCATCCAAGGAGCGAGCTTGCCTATTTAAAAAGAATTTACAAATATTTTGAAATATATAAATATTAATAAAATTATTTTCATTTTTATCTTGCATATAAATGAACTAAAATAATATGGCTGCTCACAAATCACATTCATTTAGAGGAAATACTTGCAATAAATATATACTTTATTAATTTAGCTAAGTATAAGAAAGTTTGGAAGTGAAGGAGGTCAAAATCCTACATTGGTTGTAGTACCAAGAAGTGTAAAGGAATGCTGATCATCAGCTATATTTTTTATAAAAATATAAATCACTTAAGCTGCGTATAATCTATATACTAAAGAATATATGGGCCTGGTTGGTAGGGCATTGGGCCCAAGTCTAAGAGGTCATGAGTTTGATCCCTGTCAGCCAAAATCACCCCATGTACAAAATGGAGAATAGTGCACGCTAAATCTGTTGGGGTAACAAAGTCCTCCAAATTCTCATAACAAATTAATACCTCTGGGGGCACTGGAAATAAAAAAAAATGAAGAAATTAAAACAAATGTCTGTGATTTGATGGACAAGAGAAAAATGTCCAACTAAAAAATTTCAGTATCACCATTTATCTTCAGTACCACCTTTCAATTAGCAATAGGGCATACAGTAAAACCTCAATATCACGAACTCAAAAAACTAGACTAGAAATTTTGTGAAATTGAAAATCTGTGACAAACGAAATCGAGAACTTTCTTGAAGTTTGAATATTTTCATAAACTTTAACAAATAATGTAATAACATTTTAAAAATTGCTGTCGTTGTCGGCCATTAGAGCAAAAGAGGTGCGATTGTTCTTGTTTTACAGTGGCGCCATCTATGGCCAAGAATTCGATTTCTGCCACACCCATACTTCACACCAGTTTATAGGATGAACCCATTCATACAACCATTCGTTGATCCACAAATCATAATTTTGACCTGAACCAGAGAATGGTCGACCACCAATTCAGTACCCCCAGGGGTGTAATTTGTTATGGGAACAGGTAGGACTTTGTAACCCGAGAGATTCACTGTGCACCAGTCACCATTTACTACATGGGGAGTCTTCGGCCGGCTGGATTCGAACTCTTGTTTTCATAAACGTGAGTCCAGCGCCCTGCCAACCAGGGTATGCCGGCATGATTTAAAAGTTGAGTAACATGGAAGAATCAAAGATATTTATATTGCTTAGCTGTTTTTAAATACATGTTTAAAAGTTGTGTAGCATGCATTTAAAAACACTTAAACAATATAAATATCTTTGATTCTTCATTTAATGTTATGTTTTGCTGAAATTCTTCTATTTCATTATCTTTCTTTTATGTTGATTTAACAAATATCATTGATTTGATATTAACAAAGTGATAACTTGTGAAAATGATAATAACAAACTAAATACTATTAATAATTTAAGTTTTTCAGAAGTATACAATATCAATGTTATTAAGATTAACTCATAATTAGAACATTTTACATTGTTTTCACATGGAGTAAAAGGTGCTTACTTTTTATTTACAGCAGAAAGAGGCTGTATTTCAGATCCAGCTTTTCGTTTGGATAAGGATCTTGAGCGAGATGTTTTCAAATTGGGATCAGGTGTATTATTTTTTGCATTTGGAGTTCCATTTTGTCCAACTAGCTTTTTAAATCCGCTGAAGATATCTGGAGAAAAAAAAATGTATTTGTAGATTGGTTGAATTATTTTGTTTTTATTAATCAATAAATTATTTTGTTAACAATTACTGATAAATTAATTGTCAACAGTGCAATCTTTGTAAGTGCTAAATTTTTAGTCGCAGTGCAAAAATCTTCTATGAGCAACAAATACAGGTTTTAAATAATGTGAACTGATCCATTGAACTGCATGTTAAAAAAATATATATAAATGAAAATTAATTAAGTAAATCTTTCAAGTGTTATAATTGCAGCATAATCAAATACCAATAAGAGTATAAATTAGATTTGTAAAACTTTTCAATTCTAGAAGCAATATTTAGACATTTGGTTACTGATACAAATTTTTAAATTCAGAGCTTCTGATTCAGCTTTAAAAACTAGAAAAAATAAATGAGTTTTTGTTTGAAGTTTTCATTTATAATTTTTAGTCATATTAAAGAAAACTAAAGCATTGATTTATGCATACCTTATTTTACTAATATTTCAAGATGATCAATGAAAAAAAAGTGGTTATGTACTACTACAAAATTATTACTGATGGATAGGGTCAGTCACAGTTGACCATTTAGCCTTTCTTTAACTAAGAAATAAAATGAATCATTGACAAGCATTGCAAAAAAAATAATTTAAATTTATAAAACAAAATGAACATACACTAGTTTATGACAAAAAATTCTATGTTAAATTTACCTATTGTTAAACAAACAAATAAAATTTATAAATATAAAAAGCTTTAAAATAAAGATTTTACCCTGCACAGGTCCACTTTTGCCCTTTTTCTTTGATTTGTTTGTTGAATCTAATAATTCAGCTGAAGAATCTAGTTCAGATGAAGCATAAAATTTGTCCAATGAAACACCAAAGGGAATGTCTCCAATTTTATTACAGTTTTCAATTAAAAATTTCATTAAAGATGTGTGTTGTTTGACCAAATTATTCCTAGGAAGTACAAAAGAATATATATGTTAATTTAAAAACTCTTAATTAAAAAAAATCTAAGTTTATTAAGAAAACAAAAAGGCTTCTAAAATAAACAGCTATAAGAGAAATTTTATTTGATAGTTAAATATTTGCACCATTTCAATTTAACATCATGTCCTTACTTAAGATATTAATGCTCAGTTAATTTACTTACTTATTTTTTTCAGAGGGTTCCTGCATTGAAAAAACATTTGGTGCCATAATCACAGCCAAATTGTATGCATCCATTTTATTTTTGGCACTATCGACAGCAATGCCAAGCAAAAACTGCAAAAGATGTTTTAATGTATGAAGATGATCAGGCAGTAAAAGAAGACATGCCAAAAGGCAAGCAGTAACGCAGCTTTCTTCCTGTTCTAACTGCAAGCATCTGAAAATTGTAATACAAATGTAATAAATTATTGAAATCGAATATTGATAGACATAGGTGCATATATTTTTCCTAATTAATAGGCATATACAAATACAAATAAGTTTTTTTCTCCTTCTGTTTTTATTTTTTTCAGCTCCAAGAATTACAATCATTTCATTGATGAATAAATAAACTTCTGGCCAGTACATATTAAACCAGGGGTGTAGTGGATGTGGGGGGAACAGTATACACTCAGGGGTTTTTCTATAAAGCTCCATTTGTTTGTCAACTATGCCTTTTTTTAATTATTCATTGCAGGGGTGATTGTGAGCCCAACACAAAAATCCTGAAAATTTCTTGAGTGAAATCATTAATGACGCATTTCAAAAAAAAATGTCCTTATAAATTAAAGTTATGTTGATATTTTCAAAACATGAAATTCTAAAAAAATTATATGCAGCATAATTTAAATGAATAATTATTTATAAGTTTACTTTTATCTCTAATCACATTTATTATCATACCAGAATAAATATTTGCAAACGAGAGATACCAAGTATAAATTCTAATTCTAATATCTTTTGAATAAAATAAAATGTACAAGAATTTCTATACATAAATGTGATCAATGATTTCTTGAAATTTCTGGACCTTGGATTTCCGAAAACTTCCGGATCGCGATTAGAGAAAAATCTGAAAATCTGGATTTTTTTCTGGAGCACAATCATCTCTGTCATTGTGAAGTTTGTCTATTTATATAAATTTTTAATGCACTAGGAAATTTCTTTAGTCTTGATTTTTTTTAAAAAACTCATGACGTTGAAAGTAAAAATAAAAGAGAGAGAGAGGTTAGATATGTTAAACCTAAATCTTCACATTTATATTTTATTTTATAATCGTTGTTGAACAGACGACCCTCTTTTTGGGTTCACGACTACCAATGTTTAACTCCGTAGCCTTGTAATTTTGAACCCAATCCAGAAGACAAAGGAACTCCTGGATCAAGTATTGGGAGAAATTTGCCTTCAAGGAGGACTTTTTGATGGAACTAAACCGCATTTATGTTACATAGAGAGGAAAACCTTCTACGGTTAGCCTGACAAGGGGACTCCAACCCATGATCCATCTACCATTGAGGATATATTCCGTTAGCACTGTAGTCAGTGCAAGCTGGATGCAGAATTCTTATCAACCAGCCATAGCTGAGATTCGAACCCGGTTCACCTCACTGGAAGACAAAGCTCTGTCCCCTGAGCAACAACCGCTGCTGACATTTATGTAGAAATTTTTAGAAATATAAAGGCTTAATTCAAGAAAAGTAAAAACTATTTCCTATTTAAGCTGCTAGAATAAACAATAATCTAAAGCTTATTAACTAGTAATATTAATTCCATTTATTTCCTCTTATTTCTTACACAGTCTGTATTCCTAGGTTAAAAATGTTTTTTTTAAAAGTACAACTGGATATGTATCAATCAAGAAGTCTTTAATTTTGTTACGATAAACATAATAGCTAGATGCTATGATGATATGACTATAGTCATATCATCATCATAATAATCTCATGATATGATGATATCATGAAATTATAACTTACTAAATGTTTTTAATTTTTGTGGAAAATACAACTTTTAATAAAGAAACAAAAATAAATGCGAAGCACTGGATGGTGGGGAGGGGGGCACAGCCTCCTGGGTAAAGCCTCACATAAGAGTAAATTAAGTAATAAATGTTAATCTTAACTTTACACTTATATGAATATGATACATGTAATATGAATGTACTTGATGCTTCCTAAAATAATTTAGTAAAGATGTAATAACTTTATAAATTTTTACAATAAAAAAAGTGGTAATAATTTTATAAATGTTATCTGTTTTTAATTAAATATTTAGTTTAAAGAAATCATGATTCTTTTTTTCAACGTGCTGCTTTTAACTGTTGAAATGCATTAAGTTTTATAGTTCAAATTAGATGCAAGATTTAGACAATAATCTATAAAACTTCATACATTTTCATTTAAATATTTGTAAGTTATAATGAAGAAAATCATATTTTAGAAAATATACCTACATATTGCAAATAATAAGCAAAATTATGTAATGAAAGTAAATGAATTTCAATCATTTACGATATGAGGTGATTATGTTATGCTTCTGAAAAGATTTTTCCAATGTCTTAAATAAATGTGTTCTTAAAAATATGATCAGAGTTACATGATCAGCATGTTCAGAGTTAAATTACAAATCATCAAGTATTTCTCCAGAAAGTAAATAAAATATAAGAAGCTTTTTAAAATAAAAAATGTACCATTACCTTGATGCCAGTACCTGTAAATGCATGAACACAAATTCAATTATTTTTAACAACCTGTTTTTAAATCTTGAAACTCATGAAGTTTCATTACAATCAAATTTAAAAGGTATGCAGTACTTAATATTTTAAACCTTTAAAGAATAAAGTTCTTTTTTTCACTTAATAAATTATATGCTTTCATAAAAACACACTACCTTAATTTTTTTTGGACAAATTTAAAATAATTGCATTTTTATTTTGAAAATTTAATAAAAAAAATATTTTTTAATGGCTCTACATTAAATTATTAAATACCTGATCAATAAATCCTGTACAAAAAGTGGAATTAATGGTTCAGGCAATTCTCTTAACCATTGCTTAAGAAGAGATGCAACATCATTTGGTTCACAGTCTTCCAAATCTCCACCTAACTCCAATATAACCTAAGTAACAGATTAAAATAATAAATAAGAAACTAGCATATGTAAGAAATTGCAAAGACATAAAATTATGAATCAGATTTTTTCAAACATATCTATAATCATTATAGAGTAAACTCTACCCCAGAAGCAGAAAGTGCTTAAAACTGTGACGTACGTCGCAGAACAAACAAAGTCCTTCAGAACAATTTGTATCTTGAATAAAATTCTCTATAGCTTTGACCACTTGCTGTTTTCCAGGAATGATGTTGCTTTAGAAGAGGAACATTTGATACCCTGCACAAATTTCAGCACATTTATCAGTAATCTTCCTTTATATTATAGTCATTTTATTAATAATTCATCATCGTCATTAACAAAATTTTGTACTTCAAAAGTGATTTGAAAAAGTAACAAATCAAGAATGTTTGCCTTGCTTTAAAAAACAATGTAGTGTATCTGTGTATAATCCTGTATTTTAATGCAAAGTTGACTTTTTTTAGCTGTGAAATGCTTGTAGAATATTTGTATAAATTAATAAGTCCTGTTGGAAAACATTTGAAAATATTCTGCTTATGGGGACTCTACTCTATAAATTGGCAATTTTTACTATACTACTACTCTACTGTTCTCCACAAATTGATAATTTTACAATTTTTCAATTTATAGAATAGTTCCTCTACTCTATTAATTCAAAAAATTGTAAATTCAATTGCTTACAGGTTTAACTACTTTTTTTTCTAACTAACTTCATTTTTTTTTTCACTTTACTGGTTAATCTATAACACCAACCTATGGGTCACAGGGTCATACGAGATGTACATATTGCCAATGAACTCCTATGAGTCCCTAAGAGGGATTTAATTTCATAACTTACCTAACCTTTAGTATTTTCTATTTTAGTATTATCTATTTTGACCCATATAAATAATTGAGTATCTATTGCCACTTCAAAAATGTATGCTTTTATTATTTTACATAATGAGGCATAAACAATATTAAATTCAAAATAATTTTTTTGGAGTTGCAGTTTTACAAAAAAAAATTGAAAGCTTTTACTCTATTCTAACAATCTATCTTGAAATCCATAACAAAATAAGTTGAATGCAAAAGTTAAAAAATTTTCAGATTTGTTTTATTTTTATAATAAAGAGTAAACCTACCATATAAATATAATGTAAAAAGTTTAATTATGTTAAATACATTTTAAAAGTCTCATAAAATAAACTTGAAAAAATATATTTGTGAAGAAAAACAAGACACTCATTATTTATTCAGGTTAAAATTAAAAGTTTAAATTAATCAACAAAAAAAATTATGAAAATAGAAAATAATCAAGACTGATCATTCATATTTAAAAGAATTCCACTCAACTTTAGAAATAATTTTGTCCGACTTTCCCAGAAAAAATGCTACCGGAATTCCAGACCACATTTCGTTATGCTCAACAATACTTCATTAGAAATATTATACTTTTTTGCCAATAAGCATTAAAACTTACTTTTTGATAGAAAATGTTCTTCTTGTCAAATATTCAATTTAATAAGAAACAGAATTTCACTAGTACAAGGTGTGACACATAGATTTAATACATTGAATATTATTTAGGATAGTATAAGCTATAGTCAGAAGCAATTAATTATGAGATGAAAGTAATTATAAATCATACCAATTATACATATAAATAACATAAAACAATATTTTGCCCATATATTGACAAAATTTAACTCAATATATTTGACCAATTACATTGCGCTATCAGTGCATGATAGTCATTATGTATATCTCGCTTGTAATTAAACATCAATATTAAAAAAAATAAAAAATTTACTTTTAAAAATAATTACGACAAACCAGGTGAATATTATTAAACTGCAAAAATAATTATACTCAAGAAAAATTTTAAACAAGAAATGTTAAACAAAATATTTTGCAGAGATCATTATTTTTATTTTAATAAATATAAGAAAATTTAAACATATGAGTAATATTATTGAACAGCAGATAGAGTATTATTTGAAATATTTAAAACAAGAAATTTTTAACAAAACATACTTTGTATAGAATATTATTCAACTTTTAATAAAAAAAATTTAAACATGTTGTTGCAGAATTTTTACAAAAATTATTAATAAATGTTAAGATAGATATTTACTTTAGACCTCATTGACTTAATCTTATTTCATGCAAACCTTTTTTTTTCTTTACCTCAATGTGTATATAAAAAAAGATTGTAAATTCAAATTTTTTTAGATTTGCAGCAGGATTTTTATAGGTTTTGGCTTTAAAAAATTACACAATTGTTTCTTATTTTTTTCCAAAATTTGATTCCTTAGCAACTTCAAATTTTCTTGCTTCTACAACAACTCTAAATAAAAAGTTGTCCACTTTTAACAACAAAAAATGCATCAGTTGCCTAAATGCATTGTTAAAATATAATATCATCAGCACTAACATATCAGCTTATTGATCTACCTTACTACAATAAATTAATAGAAAATTACATTCTCTCACTCAATATTAAAAATTCCAGTGAAAGGAAATACTGAGCATCTAAGACAAATATAATTTTATAGTCTCTGTTTTTTTACCTCAATATGTAATAAAAAAAAAACTACTTCTGATATAAAATGTCAGAGCATTTGCCTTTGATTTATTATTTGTCCAACTATTTTCGAAGTTCAGAAGACTTTCAACTCAATCAAACTAATGTAACAAGATTTTTGTTATGAAGTCTTTATACTTACTCGTAATTTCTTTTGCCTAGCAACATTTCCAGCTTTCCGAAAAAGTCCTATCTCTTTACCTGAATATTTTTGTAAATAAGCAGTTGACAAAGCAAGAAATCTAAAAAACAAGTAAAATGCTTCTTTATATAAATAGTTATAACAATATTTTTCATTTTCATACTTGAACTGAAAAGTCCAATTTTGCTATGTCAAAGAAAAATGATTAAAAAAACCATTTTAAAATAAAAGTCATAATGTCACTCATAATATTTTTACTAGTAAACAAAATAAGAAATCTAAGAAAGAAATAATAAATACTTTTGTCACACGAAGTTTTTTAAATATCTACATTGTTTGCTTTTTTTTTATTATTATTTAAAACGATAAACTAAAATAGCAAAGAAATTATTAAACTATAAACTTTATAATAACCATCATGGCATTTTTTTAACATGTATATTTTTTTATGCCAGCAGTAGACAAAGCAAGAAACTGAACAATAAATTAAATCAAAGTCAAATTAATGAAAAAACAAAAATTTTCAAACTAAAAATAACAACTCTAAGTTTAAATATTTTGCAAGCAGCCAGAAATTTTAGATAAAGCCAGAAATTTTAAAAATAAATTAAACATTTATGTCTACACTTCGATTTTTACAAATTTTATTTGACAAGGTAAATCATTTAACTTTAAGATTATTAGGAAAACTAACCAAAAATTTTCATAGTAAAATTAAATGTAAACTAGCTAAATGTATTTATAATTTTAATCTATATACATAATGTTATTAAAAAACTTTTGTTATAAATAATGTTTTTTATAATTTTTGATTGTTATTAAATTGCATTGCTAAGTTTTAATATCATTGGTTTTATTTGCAACTGAATATATTACTTTTCACGAAATTACTCTCTCTAAAATACTCTTACATAAAAAAAAAAATTCGATTAACAGCTTCATTATAGTAATTAACAACCAAAAAGCACTCCTCCGCTGAATGCTTAAAATCATGAAGTAAACACTACATAATGTGCTAAAGAATTATTCAGTTAAAAAAAATACCACATTCATGCAATTGGGTATAATATAGCCTACGTCACAGTTTGTGTTGTTCCTACTAAATTTAACCCATGAACGGCATTTTCTGCGAGCCTAACTTCAAGCCACAAATAAACAAACGAAGTGTTCGATCGTTTAAATAGCTGCTCGCCAGATTTTATTGCATTATAAAGAAAAGTTATTGAAACTAAATACAACTAAATAAACAACAACAACTAAAACAAATAACAACAACTACTAATAACAATAACTAAATAAACAACAACTAAATTCCATTCGTTTAGCATTGCGTCATATGTTGTTCCTACTAAATCGAAGTAGTTGTGTTTTTTTCATATTATACCCAATTGCATTATTTTTGACAATGTCATACTAGAAAAATGTATTTTTCTTTATCGTTGTATCCTCTTGAAATTCGCCACAAACATTGCTAAAAAAGATTAATAAAATATATTTCCTTTAGAAAAATTAAATATTTTAACTATTTCAAAAATTCATATTACATTTTTTCAAAAAACAAATATTTTTTAAGTGGACTTAATCATGATATATAGATTATAAAATATCTTTAAAAAATTAACAAAATGACAAAAATTTATTAGTCTAGTTCAAATAGTTTTATACTTTACAGTTGCTTAAAAATCATAAAACAGTAAAAAATATTTGAGTTTTTAAAGTTTCAAAAATATCTCAGAAACAAATGATTGAAAAAATCTAAAACCAGTTGTTTTTCACTTATAAATAAAATACACAAATATACAATGGGGTAAAAGTTAGACAGCACCACCTGGGTGCCATGGCATCTATGTCAGCTGAGGATCCTATATTTTTAGCCCTTTTAAACTTGAAAATCTGAATATTCTGTTTTTAATTAATTAATAAATATTTTTTAACATAAAATCCAATCAGAATAATCTTGAAATCTGTATTTCTTGTTATCTCGGATGGTATTATTGTTTGTACTGGGTTTCATCCTTCCAACTTTGGTTTTCAATTTTTTTTAAAAATTAAAAAAGATTGTTCAAATTATATAGCTATTTATTAGCAATTTGGAAAAAAAAAATTCAGCTGCAGATTATCTTGTAGTAGTACTTAACACACAGTATCTTATATTATCTTGTAGTACTTATGTAAAGGAAATAATTGATTAAATACCCACATTAAATGCTTCAATACAGAATACTAAGGTTACACAATTAAATGACTTAGAGTTAATCATCAATTTATCTCATATCATGGGTGAGCAAAGATGAAATAGAAAAGTACAGCAGTGACCAAATTATAGCCGATTCCTTTATAAAAGTTGTATAATCGCCATCTTTTACTCATTCAAACTAAAAAAATCAGAAAGCAAACATACTTTTTACACCTTACACTTAATTTATTTTTTGTATAATATTATATTATAACTGCGGTTATACAATTTTAAAAAAAAATTATGTTTTGCTATTTTTAATTATATAATATGCTGGCTCCCAAAAAAAAACTAGTCCTAATTCCTAGAAATTTTTAAGTTTTGTAGAAATCTACTAATACCTAATACATATACCTAAAATTTTGATCATTGGCTGATTACCCTAATGATTAATTTATGAAAATTTACCTGTACTTTATAAAATATATGCATTTATATTTCATATAAAATAAATTACTTTGGTATAAGAAATTCACCATCAGATACCCATTCTTGATCACATAAGTGTACACCAAATATTTTACATCTTGTATCTTGATCAGACTTCTCCTATAGAAACGTAAATATATATTATTATATGATTATTTGTAGCAGAAAAAAAGTCATTAGCAACTAATTTAAATGCAAAAATTGCTGAAGACCATTAATCTATATCAAACTGGACAAAAGAACTGCGAAAGTAAAACTTAATCTAAACGTAAATTAATAAAATTTAGAACTAAATCCTGATCAAAATAAGGACAGGTATTCCGTGTATGCTTTATAATGCATTAAATACACTAAAAATTGTAGAAGGGGTGCAAGAAACAAGTTTCGGATTATGGTAATTTTGCAGCTTAAAAAAAAGTGCTTCGACAAAACTATAATAAAGTTTTGAATACATAATAAAAATTATTTTTTGCTTTATTACTAACTAAGGGAAAAAATTAGAATAGTTGTAAGTTTCATATAATATTGTCGCTTTTTCTCAATTAGGTGCTTGATCAATCCTAATTAAGAACTTTAATTGTTTAAATATAACTATTAGATAGATTTAAAGTTCTTTGTTTTATTTATCAATATGATTATGAATATACATATTAATTGATGGATAAAGAGGTAGAGAATTCATATTTAAAATAAGGACCAGCTTTTAATTAAAAGAGTTCCAGAAATCCTGGGTGCTAAGAATTGAAGTGTAGAGAAAATTAGAATTCTAAAGTGAAATTTTTCTACTTCTTCATTCATAACTACTTATCAGGACTGGCAAATTTTAGGATTGTGTTAACTTTTAATGGTTCCATAGATAAAATTCTTTTGTCAAAAGTTCATAAAAAAACCTAAAAATGTGCACTTATGTATTGGTATAATTATTCATATTTTACATTAGACATTCCATGCTAAGCCTAAAGTTATTATATCTAATACTAGAAGTATACAAATTAGCACATCTTGAAAAGAAAATAGCTATAAAAAAATCATTTTTATTACATAAATAGACTTGAAATATAGACCACTGAAAATCTGTTGATAGCTCAGTATTAAAGAAAACATTCTAAATTTTTATGATAAAAGATTAGATATCTAAACAATAAGGTAATATGAAACTTAAATTATGGGAGGTGAAGATTGCTTCATGAGTCCCTTGCTGTATTTTACTACATTAAAATTAATACTGGTTTCTACTATTTTTTTCTAATAATTCTGCTTATAAATAAACCCAAAACTTCATAAAATTTAAAAAATAAAAAACTTGCAAATTATAACAATGAAATAAAATGTTTAATTTCCATAATATCAAAACTAAAATAATAATTGTTCCATGCAAAATTTCGGATGAATCTATTTTCAAAATTCCTTAAAAGAAGAAAAAAGTTTCCAAATAAGAAGATGAAAGTTCTAAAATAAAATAAAGAAATTAAATAATTTATCAAGATCAAGGGAAATAATATGAGTCAATTCTCCTTATATTTATTATAATTTCTACTTTTCTGAAATTATTAATACAGCATTATATTACATTATTAATACAAATACATTTTAGTAATATCACTTATTTAGTAATATACTTAGTATATATTTATACATTAATACAGATATTTTTTTAAATTAGTGTTTTTAATGTATTATAAAAAATTTCCTCCTAGGTTACATTTATCTTTGAATGTTTGTCATGTTTAAAAACTCAATTCAACTTTGTTAAAAATTACTACGAAACAAAACAGAATGAGCTGTATCACATTTGCATAAAATATTTTTATTTCATAAACAAAACATGAAAAGATGTAATATTTTCAAACATCACGTAATATATCATCTTCATAAAATAAGATTTTGAGACAGTTTTCTTATTGTTATTAGATACAGATAATACAACTAATAATTAATTACATAATACTCAATCTTCTTCTACAAGTAACTTAAATCCCTAAGTGCTATCAAATAGCTTAACTCATTATTGCATTTATTATATTAGATAAATTAATCTCCCAAATACTAAAAACATTTAATTTACTTCCTACTCCACATTCTAATGAGATAATTTTTGCGCTTTTTCGACGTTAACTGCAATTTTTTTGAAAAAGAGTCATAAATTATTTGCTAGTGACCTAGTTTTATCCAGTTAAAAATTGGGTAGATAATAGGGCTACAGATTGTACATCCCCAAAATTAAGCGTTAAGTATTAAAAACATACTTACGAACAAATATACAAATTGAACACTGGAACTAATTTGAGCTTTTCGCTAAAAAAGCTCAAATTAAAATAAAAAAAAATTATCTTGTATAGAGAGGTGACAAAAAGTCAGCCGTATTAAAATAGTAATGATGAAATATTTTAAAACCTTGTAATATTTCATGCAAAAATTTACTTACAAGCTTGGATATTTCTAATTTTTGGATAAATTTTTTATGTTTTGGCACTTTAACACCTAACACTTTAAGCTCAGCGAGCACCGTTAAAATTATATCATCTCTATTAGAATTATTTGATTTAGATGGCATTTTAAAAGTAAATTATAGACTACTTAGATGAAAATATAATAAACTAGATGACACTAAAATAAAAATACGCGACTAAAAGTTATTTCCTTAGCAGCTTTGTAAACTATCGATTCATGTTTTTGTTGATAAAAGTTTTAAACTTTCGCACTTTGTTGTCGTTAAATTCGAGCAAAATGATTGGCCAAAATAAACATTGCCATTTTTAGTAACTTTCATTTCAATTAGAGAAAAAAATATCTGGCAATAGCTCAAATAAATGAATGATAAGCATGAAAGTATACGTCACAGAATACGCTTTTTGACATTTCATCGAAAGAACCGTTCCTGTTGCATACAATTCAAGAATTACCGATCACCGTCGAGAAAAAAGATCCTGATAGGTGAGATTTTGACGACAGAATATATTTCGCCAATCAGATTCTCATTCTCCTACGACGGCGAGTGGGATGTATTAATCGCATAAGTGAAAATGACCATATGGGCGCCATATCTTTCTAAACACTAATATTGGTCTAAAGACATTTAATGAAAATTTTAAAAAATTATCTTACTCAGAACAAAATGTGCTATATCTGGAGTATATATAGCGCTATAATAAGAGTGAACACTTTGCAAATTTTCTATAATATTTTGCTTCTCATCAGTGATTTAAAATTTGCTTCATATTTGAAAAATGGCGTCATAAGAAAAAAACTTATATATACTTAAGATTATCCATAGAAAATTCTTTTTAAAGGATCTGATTTCATAATTTCGAAAAAAATTGAAAATAGAAAAGTTACAAATTTAATATTTCTTGCAATAAGATGTTATAGTTCATTTTTGAATTACTAATTAAACTTTATAATGCATTTCGTCGCAGAGTGTTGTCATCTTTCCATGCTTTGAAAAATAACACACTAAAAACAAAAGTTGGTTTTGGAATTAGAGTGAGAAGTGGAACACGTACTTAATCATAATATCAGAAAAATGCTATTTTCGTTTTATTATTAATTAATCCCTTGAGTCCCTTAGAGTTCAAAGTTGCTTAAAAGTAATTCTCAATAGAATACTCACGGTGGAACAAGTCGTAAGTGGCTATTCCCCGTGCGAGCTCTTATAACACCGAACTCTTATAAGTCGGTCCTATAGCACCTTAAAAGTTCTAACACCTGTCCTGCACCTCTTCGTGGTTCGGGGGGGAAACGTCTTTTGAAGGCTAACGCAGGCAGAGGGGACGACCGACGAAGACGCACAATGCAAATAATCCAGATTTGCGGAGATTGAAATGTCAGAGAGCGAAGAGGATGATTGGGAGACCACAGGTTTTGAGGACTCGTTTGAGGTTTGCCAGAGAGATTGGGCAGCTGAATCACAGATTTTACTAGAGGAAATGAATCGTCTGCTTAAAAAGTACCAGGGAAAGACGCTGAACGCTCTGGGGATCGCAGAGTTCGCACAGGTTGCAGTCGATTTTTCGCACACCGTTTCTAAGCTAAATACCCTGTTGTCCTTCACAGAGGGTCGTCAAGCATAAGCCGAAAGAGATTTAGATCTTGTGACGAAAAAGAATAACAACAAGAGCCCGAAAACTTACGCTGAAGCCATTAAAGTCGGCCGTGAGACTTGGCGATCGAAAAAATCCAAGAAGCACATCCTGTTGGTTGAATCAAAGGAAAAGGCACCTTCTGAGAAGGTCGAGCGAGTCTTAAAAGAGAATATTGATCCAGCTGAGACTGAACTCAGAGTCAAAGAGCTTAGAACCACCCGAACGGGCAAAGTGCTTGCTGAGCTCGACAGCAGGCAAGACCTAAGCATTTTAAAAGAACAGATAAGAAAAAAAGGCCTGAGAACAAAACTTAACTGTGAAGTGCCCGTTAGAAAAAAACCGGGAATCCTCATTTTTACTTTACCAGAGTTACTTAGCAAGGAGGGACTCGCCAAAAAACTCAGAGAGTGCAACGATAATTTTCATAAAGGAGGCTTTGAAGTCTCGTTTCCCATTAAAACCGAAGGAGGACATCATTGGGTAGTGACGCTTGAGCCAAAGAGCTTTCAGAAAGTCATGAGACGTGAAGGAGTGGCAATTGGATGGAAGCGCTACAGAATCAGCGAGTACATACGACCGCTCAGGTTTCACAAGTGCAATCGTCTTGGCCACATGGCCAGAGATTGCAGCCGGCCAGAGACGTGCTCCAATTGCGAGAGAACAGGTCAAAGAGCGAATTCCTGTCAAGGCAAAAGAAAATGCGTAAATTGCAGCGACGCCAACCAATGGTATGGCTCGAATTTGAAAACTGACCACAGCGCCACTAGCAAGAACTGTGTGTCGTACAAGCGAGCAGTAAAAGGAATACAGCGCAAAACCAAGCCAACAAACAGAAAACGTGACCTTGAACAAGAGTGACTCCAACCATCTAGAGAGACCTACAGCTCTTTGTGACCCGCCTAGCAAATCGGCATCGACCTTCGCCCTGTAATGCTTTGATTGTGCTCTAATGTTTTTTTGTTAATTGTATTTTTAATAAAAGTTTCTGGTTTTGGCAAGAGGCTCGCACGCCTCCTGGTTGGAGGGCGAGCAGCGCAGGGTGGCTGCGACACTGCTGTCGGTCCACCTGGTCCTATGGCCTACAGTCGGCTTGGCGCTTGCACCTCCGGGGTTTGGCGGGGGCTTCCGGCCTCCTCTGGTCGTCGACGAGATTATGTTGCTCTTTTGTCTTGCGTGACTCCTTCGGACTTCCCTCGCTTCAGCAAATTGCTTGGTCCCTCGTGTCGGTCGTGGTTGCCTTCGTGACTGTGAGACATCATATTTTGGCGTATGGGCATCACTTGCTCGGGTTGCGACACAAATTTCCTTATTATTAATTAATCTTTAAATCAAACGCAGCATCTACTAAAAATATTTTTAAAAAATCACACTGCAAGTGTGCATCCAATATGGAGGCAGATAAGAGAGTTTGAGTGAAAATCGGCCAAGCATGGTAAACTTTTTCACGATCTTTCTCCTTCGCAACCTCTATTTTAGACAATTTTGAAGCTATTGTTATAACTCTCTATCTAAAGTTTAAAATAGATAATCTACTTCAATATAGTTTAAAAATTTCCTCTCGTGAATATTTCAGAGCTAAATTAAATATATTTTTTTGCTATCACAAGCAATCTGTTTGATGAAAAAATTTTCTTGAACAATCATAATTCTTTTTCTCTCGTTAAAATTCAACTCAACTCGCTGTTTTTGTAATCAGGATTTTCAATAATCATTTTCTTCATTCATTATAAGTTTCAAATTCAAACTGAAATAATGAATTCCAGAACGACAACTTCCAAAAAAAGTGGTTTAACCTTTCCAGTTGCGAGAATAATTACTATGCTTCGTGTACGTGGTGTAGCCAATCGCATTACCACAGACGGTGGAGTTTACTTTACTGCAGTTCTTGAATACTTAACAGCCGAAATACTGGAATTGGCTTTGAACGCAGCTCGGACTGAAGGATCTTCAAGAATACAGCCACGACATTTGAATATAGCATTAAGATCAGACTTGGAGCTTTTTCCTCTTTTTCGGACAGCTATTTTTCCAGAGAGTACGCACCATCCAGACAATAATGTAAATCGCTAAATTACTGAAGAAGCTGGCATACTAAGACCACAACCTCGAATAATAACAACTCAATCTTTAAGCAACAGCAGACGGTCAGCTAATGGTTCACAAAGACTGAAACCTCCAAAATAAAAAGTCTCGTAATTATTTAAACTAATTGAGCCAATACTCATTATGTTTTTTCAATAGATTTTTTCTATAATCATTTGTTAATAGTTAATTGTATTAAAAATAGGTTATTATCTTAGATTTTGTTTTGGAGAATAAATTTTTATTTTACGAGGAGAAATATTTGTTCTACGAAATAAGTTTGTTTTACGAAATAAATTTATTTCTCGAAACGAGAATTTCCACAACATATGCATACCTCATTTTGTTAAGCAGTTGGTTACCTACACTGTTTCCGCCAAAGGAATTATATAATTCCCTTTAGAATTATAAAAAAATTATAATATAAAAAATAAATGAATAAATTAGTAAAAAGATGTAAATAAAATAGTAATTAATGCAATAAAATAGCCGTTGTAATTTGAAATCATTTGGCATATTTTGCAAAGGATTTTGGAAACATAGCTCACTGTTTTTCTGGTTAGTTAATTTTTTTTCATTGAAAATAGTTTTTTATTTTATTTTAATACAGAAAATCACGATGCTTTCCTACTAAATTACTTTTTTTTATAGTCCCGCAGAGGACTGATCGTAAAGACACGGTTCCCAGTAGAATAGTGAAGTCAAGCTTCACTGGCTGCGGTTAGAGCCCTGAATTAGACAGGCCGACTTATCATTTATTTTTGAAGCAAAAAGCTAACATAAGCACATAACATAACTAATACTAACATAACGTTAACTTGCGAACTTGTTTGCTCCAATATTGCTTGATAGGTCAGCTCTTATAGTATAGGAGCCTTAGCTGCGGTCAGTAAGCTGGTGGGTGACCACTTTGATCAGCCTGCGTAGGGACTGAGGGTGCGCGGTATCGGTTCTCGTTAAACTGTTCCACCGTGAAGTGCTTGACTTGCGCGCAAGTCTTCGGGCTACCAAAGCAGGGAAGGCATCCCCTCTGCAGAGGATCAAAATTGCGATGGCATGTCTTCGGATCATCTTCAGGGATGTTTCCCAGATCGTCGCCAATAGCCCATTGAGTAACTCTAAAGTGAAGGAAATGAAGCATCTACCTATCTTCTTAATTATTTTCTAACTATCAATTTTGACTACGGATGTACTCTAGAGAGCAATTTACTGCCTTTTAGGGCCAGGTTCATTAGCTGCGCTGAAGTAGGTTTCCCTGACCGTCGCCTATCGTGCAGTTCTACTGCAACGTAAATAAAGTACCTACCTACCTTTTTTGTAACATGAAAGCAATATTGTCGAATTTGGTACTAATCAGTTCTGAAGTTGCGCTACTGAGTTTCCATATTTTTTCAAAACTTAACATTGGCGTTCGACGCACAGGAAGCCATTCAGACACTCAGCCGTCACTGCGGAGGCTTGAAGCACAATCCATGGGTATAAATTCAATTAAGTAGTAAAAAAATTTTTTTTTCCTTTGAAAAATGAAAACGCGTCTTAAAACACCCACTTCAAATTGATTTATAATGCATTTATTTAAAGAGTACCGTAAACTGACGCCTAAAACAAAATTGAAGGGCTTGGGATTATATAATGACTAGGAGGCTTCGCCCCCTATCCGATGCTCGCTCATTGGATTCGTTCTTAATGTCTAGCTTTTGTATACTCTTCTGAACACTGAAGTTCCGAAAACTTTTCACTGTAGAAAATTCTAAACCTGTGCATTTCAATATTAATTTGAAATTGCAAACAGTTCAGATATTTTTCTTAATCACACTATTCTAAATTTCAGTTGTTGAGAAAAGTAACTGTTGTAAGTTTTGTTTTAAAGTCTTTCCCACCAGAGGGCTAAAACCATGTGTTGTAAAACAATATGAAATAGTACTGAACGCCGGATGTAAAGCATCGGCTTCGATGAAGATAATTTTGTGAGAATTTTTTTGATAATTCGGTGAGAATTCACCCGATTAGACATATGCAGGCCCGGACTGGCCAGTAGGCAGACCGGGCAAATGCCCGGTGGGCCGGTCTGGCCTGAGGGCCGGTAGGGCCGAGCTAGCAGCGACATTTTTTTTATTTTATACATTGCATGAATTTCAAATAATATTGCGCAAATAATAATATTAAATAACATATATACATATATGATATATGTAGTAATAATATTGTTTCAATATATAGGGTAATTCAGATCATGCGTGCCACCCATTTTTTTGAGAATGGAGCAAATAATTAATTTGAAATAAAAAATCTAATAACTAAATCGATCCTAAGGAATTCAATAGTGATATTGTTAATTCCCGGAAGTAGTCAGGAGTACCGGAATTTGAACACAGTTTTGATTTTTTAAATGGAAACCTATATCTTATTTTGCATCATTGGAGAGGGTTTTCGAAAAAAAGAAACTTTTACTTGAATTTTTTTTTATATCTCTTACTTATTTCTTATACATTTTCTATATCCCAAGATAATAGATGCGAAAAAATTCTGATTATTTACTTCAATTTATCATTTTTATCAAAAATAATTCACTTAAATTATCAAAATCGCTTCAATTTTTATAAAACATGGGAAGAAAAGCACAAATGTGTTTTAATGAAGGTATTAGACATTATGACGAAAAAAATTTTTTTTTAGTGAATATGTCAAAATCTATTTAATACGTATTTTTTCTCATCTATTATCTTGAAAATAGTAGGAGATATTAGAAAATATTTTAATTAAAAGTTATTTTTTTTCAAAAACTCTCCAATGATGTCAAATAAGATATAGGTTTCTATTTAAAAAATATATGAAATATCGTGTATATGAAAAACTTCTTGCTGTTGTAGCGTGTAAATCTTCAACTGGACAGAATATGTAGCGTCAATGGAACGCCGATTTCCGGCAAATGGAAAATTGCACGCAGATTTTTCCTATCTAGATCCGAAACGTTTCCCTGAAAAACGTCTTAGCAAGCTTCAATCTGGCGAACTAAATGAGTTAAGCAAACTCTTGCTAAAATTTGACGAAACAGCTATAGATGAAAATTTGCGGATTGAACTAAGAAATTTAGCTTTATATTGGGAAAAACTGAAAAATTCAGACTTAGAAGATTATAAAATAACCACAGAAGATCATTCAAATGAAGATAATAACGACTTTACTTTGGAAACAAAAGAAGAAGTAAGTCTAAAATGTGAGACACGCAGTGCTTACAAAAATTGTGTTATTTGTTGCTACAAGATGTTACACAGATTCAATTTATTAACCATTTCTTACAATTTAATTAGTCTAGTATTAAAATTTTTACTAACATTGTCAAAAACTCAGGTGCCTTGAGAAAGATCATTCTCCACATTAAAAGTAATTAAAAATCGAATGAGGAGTACTTTATCTTCGGATAATTTGAATGCTCTCATGGTAATGGCAATAGAAAAAAATCTATTAATGAAATTAGATAGCGACGACATGATCGATAAAGTGGCAGAAAATAGTGAGCCTCTTCAAAAGTTAAATTAAATTTTAATTTAATGACTTTTGAAGAAGCATTAAATATATTTTTAAAAAAATGTTTACATAAATCATTCATGTATGTGTAGTATAATAAATATTTTTATTTACTCTTCATCTTTCACCTTCTTTGTGATTTTATCAACCTATGTTTCCTCATAAGACCATGTATTTTAAACTGAAATATATTTTATAAAGAGTTATTCAGCAATTTTTATCTACTTTCTTACTTCGATAAATTAACTTACGTTCATGAGAATTTATAAGTAAAAAATGCCTAAAAATTATACATTAGGAGCCGCGTACGCTTCGCGCAAGCGCTGTTTATGTGAACCAGAGGGCCGATATCTCTGAAATGCCCGGGCCGATTTCAGATCTCAGTCCGGGCCTGGACATATGATGCTCTCGAAGTGCTCTTGCGCGTCGAAGCCTATCAATTAAAACGTATTAGCGTTTTATGTAATATAGATTAGGCATATGATGCTCACTACGTGCTCTTGAGCGCTGAAGCCTATCAATTAAAAATGAAAACTGTTGCCAATGCGAGAAAAGAAATATCATCGGTTTTATTGATACATACGTATTAGCGTTTTATATAATATAGATAGATAAGTCACGTTTAAAAATTGTTCGGGAAAACGTTTTCTGAGCTATAAAACATTTCTATGCATGGAGCTTTCATGTAATGGAAATTCCTTTAAGTTGTAAAATTGGAAACAAAAATAAGTAACAGTTTGAGATATAGAGTCACCTTTAAAAATAAGTAGGGCTTATCGTACCATTGCCGCTCATGCCATCAATTTTTCTTTAATTCGTAAACTTTTGCATATGATCTGTTCAGTATATTTTAATTTATTGGCATTATATAATTTTATATGCTCTTTTTAATTACTAGACATTTATACTCCCTTTAATGCATACATATGAATTATTTCTATGTAATTAGGATGATATATAAATATATGTTCAGGTTGTAAAAAAGTTTGGAAAATGTCAAATATCTAGAGAAATATGCATCGGACCGATAAAGTGAAACTAGACACATTCAGTATTTTTAAAGGATATAAAATGATACCACACTCGATTTTCACCCTACCCCAAGTGAGTGCAGCAGGGGTCAACAATAAAAACTTTAATATGAACCCCTATTTTTTTATTGCAGATACGCTTTTTCCAGAAAAAAAGCCTATTTCAACTACAAATTTATGCATTTTGCTTCACACATGACGAGAAAAATTATATAGGGTGCGAGCTGTTTAAAATGGAAAATCTCGAGAGCCATCAGAGTAGGGGGAACTGAGCGCTTCGGATTGGAATAAGCAAATGCTTCTTAAAAAGTTTGAGTATTTATTTCTTTACAACTATGGGTATATTTAAAAAAATTTGACGATATCTTTTTAATCTGAAACAAGTTTCAAATGAATTCCTCATTGCAAATAATTATAAAAAATGAGCAGCATTTCCGCCTTTATGTTAACCATATATGTGCTTTTCCCATCACGTGGTTTAGACTAAACAAATGCTTCTTAAAATTTTTTAAGTATTCATTTCTTCACATCTATGGGTATTTTTGAAAAACTCAACTCTTACTTTGTAATCTGAAACAAGTTTCAAATGAATTTCTTCATCATTATTTGGAGTAAACAAATTCTTCTTAAAACTTTTGATTACTTATTTCTTGACATGTATGGGTATTTTTTGAAAAATTTACTTTCACTTTGTAATCAGGAGCACGTTTCAAATGGTTTCCTTATCGCAAAAAATTATAAAAAATTTCGCAATCTATCCTTCACTATGTCAACTTATATATGATCTCAATGTTTTATTTATTTTTTCTAGTGTTTAATTCGTAATGTTTTATTTATTTTTTATTAATGTTTCTACTTTTTTTTCACATCTATAGCTATTTTTGAAAAATTTTACGTTTACTTTGTAATTAGAAACAAGTTTCAAAGGAAATCCTCATTGCAAAAAAATTATCAAAAAATTTTCCATAAGTCTTTCTATATTTATATATATATATGCTCATAACGTAGCATTGTTTGGACTAAAAGCTGCTTCTTAAAAATTTTGAGTATTTATTTCCTGACACATATGGGCATTTTTGTAAAAATTGACGCTCACTTTATAATTTGAAACAAGTTTAAAATTATTTCCTCATTGAAAAAATTTAAAAAAAAACTCCCAAATTGTCCTTTATTACGTTAATTATGGTTATATGCTCTTAATGCGGTGAGTAAACAAATCCTTCTTAAAAATTTTGAGTACTTATTTCTTGAAAGAAATTGGTACTTTTAAAAAAAAATGACGCTCACTTTGTAATTTGAAATAAGTTTCAAATTCCTCAATGCAAAAAATTATGAAAAATACACTAAGTGCCCTCCATTATGTTAACTATATATATACTCTTAACGTAACATGGTTTAAATTAAACAAATGCTTTTTAAATATTTTGAGTTCTTATTTCTTCTAATCTAAGGGGATTTTGATAAAATTTGACGCTTACTTTGAAACCTGAAAAAAGTTTAAAATGGATTCCTCATTGCAAAAAATTATAAAAAATTAGCAATTAATCCTTCAGTATGTTAACTATATTAATGCTCTCTGCGTAATATGGTTTAGACCAAACAAATACTTCTTGAAAATTTTTTAGTATTTATTTCTCCACATACGGGCATTTTTGAAAAATTTGACGCTTACTTTGTAATCTTAAACAAGTTTCAAATGAATTTCTCATTGAAAAAGTTATAAAAAATTCGAAAAATGTCCTCCATCATGATCTACATACATGCTCTTAACGTAGCATTGTTTGAACTAAAATTTACTTCCTAAAAATTTTGGGTATAGTATTAACAGACTCGCTATCGTATCGAATTTCAGATACGACATGTTTATTAGTTAGTAAAGATGAAAACAATAACAAAAATGTATTAATTTTTCTTAAAAACTTAAATAGTATCAGCTTATTTATTAAGAAGTGAGCGAGTGTTTAGTGTCTAATTGCTGATCCCACGACAAATTAAGTAGTTATTATGCTCGATCACTTGACTTTCGACTAGATAATTGATCTTTAACATTTAAGGACAGATAAATAGATCTTTATCATTTAAGGAATCATTTCATCATTAGCACCATAACTTCATTATGTTACCAGATATAGATTTATAATAGCTATATTTATCTGTTTCATTGATGCCTATTTTGTTGACTAACATTTCCAGCAAGGCATGTAAGATTGCGAGAGTTTTCAAACTCTGATTAATACACTCATAATTACACAGATGTTTCAGGCACCGGATGAATTTAAAACGCAATTGTTAGGGCTCTGAAATGGTGATGTTATTTTTTGATTATATGGTGACTATGTTCAAAATTTCATACATTTGACATTCTGTAACAGTTCTGTGATGTGAGATACTTTTTTAAGCTCCTATGCCCGCAGTATATTGCTGAAGATCTCATGAACCTATCATCATTGTGCTATAAGGAATTTTTAAAGATTTCCAAATGAATAACTGTTAGTTTTTCTGTATTAATTATTATTTTTTTTTATAAAACCTGCTATTTCCATAGAAATGAAACAGCACTCATGAATTGATGTCCATTAATTTAAGTGGAAGAGGTTACACTTCATTAACATATGTTAGGAAGAAAACGCATGTATATTAATGGGAGGGTAATATATCTACGATTCATGCAAATAGTATCATATTTTTATTCAAGTCATTATCAAAACAATAAAACAAAACTGAAAAACTCAACATAAATGTACAACTTAAATGAGATCCACTACAAACTGAATGTGCATCATAAAAATGTAAGTGATATTCACCACACGTCAGAAGCTTCAACTTCAGAAATTCTTCAGGCACAGAAATATCACAGTGAGTTGCATTATTTTACACATTTTAACTCCCTGATTATCTCAATATTTAGAACAGAAGAATAAAAAAAAAAAAACAAATATGGCATTACAGTGTTACAAACATTCAGTGATAAAAAATAAATACAGGATGAAGAGTAATAATTAACCGCCAGATTTATTCGCTTGTAGCATCGACATGAATTTAATGTCCTTCTTGTCAGCCACGTCCAATTTCCATCGAGAAAAGTCATTGAATAATTGTCTGAAAGTTGAATTTCGTAAGGCAAAAAGCATTATGAATTTCGTCAAGTAATGGCATACATAATCAATGAAGCCCATAGAGTCTGGGCACGGCAACCCTACTAATTCATGAATATAGGTTGAAATCGAATTCCAGGTTAAAGCTTCTTGCATTTCACTCATAGCAGCAACGACACTTTTTCCCATATTTACCGATACTGGACTAGCATCAGCAACCCGCACTTTGTATTCTTTAGTGAGGAGTGACTTACATGCCGATACAACCTGAGGATAATCACCATGGCACAAGTTAAATTGATCTTCAATACCCAAAAGAAATCCAATAGCTCGCCAAAAGTGAATTAAGGCATCATAATCTTCCTCGCTGCAGCCATGGATACCTACACGAGATCGGAAAAGTACCATGGGGCCGACAAAAGCCCATTGAGTGACAGCCATATCCCATTGAGAAACGTAGACAATGCCATCGTTTAATGCGGACATCTTTTTACCAACTCTGGCATGCATATTTCTAACGATGGATAAAGATCTCTGAGCAGGATCGTTGATGTCAAAAACATTTCCTTCGTACCATTTCTGAATGTGTCGTACAGTCTGAAGGTATCTGTGGAAAAGAGATAGTTTGGTATCCGATTCGCCTGTTGACCGTAGAGTCTTTATGTTCTTTGTGAAATAAAAGGACAAAAGTAGGCCACATAGATGACTGAAGTTTATACTGAAAATAAATAAATAAAATGATTAGTCATGAATAGTATTAACGAATAGTATTAGTTATGAATAGAATTAACGAATATTATGGCTAATAAACTAAATAATGTTATTTTAATGAAATTGCCCATCTTGAATTTTAGGTACAAATTTACGATTTTCTTTTTCTTCTTCTTTTGTATTTAACAAAAATTCGCAGAAAATCCTCAGCGACCATGTCGTATGATTATGCGGCATGTAAAAGATACCTGGAGTGCCTTATTGGCTCCTGGCATTTCCGGCAAAATTAAATTCCTAGTGCACTTTAGCAACCAAATAGAGTCTCTGTGCTGCCATTTAGTGTGGCAGAAACTAGACATCCAAATTAACATGGCCAACGGTATCTCACCCATTGTGGTGGTCCTGAAAGCGTAGATACCACTTTTGGAGAACGCACTAGGTCTGCTCATCGGGAAGACTGATTGTGCAGCTCATAGGAAATAAAAAAATTTAAAAAAATTTTGATGATAGAAGCACTGAATAAAAGCACTATTTAAAAATAGGTGAAAAGTAAAGAGGAAGCTTCATCAAATTAGGTGAAAAAAATTTAATAATTTTTAGAACTTCTATGGATATTTTCCTAAAAAATAAAAAGCAACAACATTATGCTGTTGGTTTTAATGAATAATTTAACACTGTGTATTTTTCTGTTTTCAGACATTTTGAAATTTAAGTTTATTATGGTTAACTGATGAACTTTTCAAATTTAAATTAAATAAAAACAAAGATATTTATTCAAAATCTTAGCAGAGGCGAATGCATAATGCTTAAATACCCATTACAAATGCTGGTTGCAGACTTGCTTTTGGTATAATTTTGACCGAAAAAATGAGTAGAAAAATCTAAAATATCATGCACTGTATTTCTTCAATTCTAATTAGACGACGGCCTTGCATTTTACATATTTTGAACGATATAACTGAGTATAGTGTAAATATCCTGCGTTGAGAAAATGAAATAAAAAGGATTAATGCTGTTGTAGTTCATTTGCGTCGCACTAGAGCTGCACAATGGGCTATTGGCGACGGTCTGGGAAACATCCCTGAGGATGATCCGAAGGCATGCCGTCACAATTTTGATGCTCTGCTTAAGGGAATGGCACCTCCGCTTCGGTAGCCCAACGAACTCCACGCGAAATCGAGCACTTTACGGTTGAACAGTTTAACGAGGACCAATACCGCACACCCTCGGTCCCTACGCAGACTGATCCAAGTAGTCACCCACCCGCACACAAAGGATTAATGCATTTTCAGCCGTCTACATCCTTTTGACATTTGAGAAAAGAAAGTGACCTTCTTAAGAAATATGTTATGCTTAAGAAATATGTTAAGTTTTATATATATTTTGCACAAATTACGAATTATTGTTAGTAAAGAAATTTGTTATCCAAAAATTGCTTTGAAAGAATTTATCTAAATAACTAAACGACTATCTTTGTTTAAAGTCACAAACGTCATAAATGATTCATACTAAGTTTTCGCATTGGATAAGCAAATCGCATGACAAGTTATTCAAAGCTAAGTAGCATTTTCACCCCAGTGGTGCTCTCTTTAAAGGCGCTCCTACCTGACTTAATTCGAGGCAATGACTGGTGAGCTAGGAATGTCCAAGTGTCATTATAAGCAACAACTCATGGCAAGCTTTTAAATAAACACGGGTAAAGTTTCAGATATCTTCAGCATGATATTAATAAAAGTTATAATTTATTACTTTCTAGTTTCTTTAATAGAAAAATATCTGCAGAATAAAAGATGTTTTTGTTATTTTTTATCATTTTGCTACAAAGTAATATTTATCTTCGAATAAATTTTATATACTATTGTAACCAATCACTTGTTCAAGTAAAATTATTAACACAAAAGAAGTATTTAAAATTTAAAAATAAGATGAAGGTACGATTTTTCGCACTACTGTTCAATATTATTTCTGGTGGTCAAATATAATAAACGCCTTTTTCATAGGGATTGAAAAATAAAAACTTCAAGACCAGCTTCGTGGATGAAGTTGCAGTTCTATGAAAATTACTTTCCTTACAGTAAGTTTATTTGGTAAATGAAAGTAATGATCAAATTAAATTAATAAAAACTGTAAACAATAACAGCAATCAAGAAGTTTATAACCGATTAATTGATTGCTAGAAAATGTTTAGAAGAACAAATGGTTTTAATTGTTATGACTGGGCTCTAATAATCGGTAATATCCGAAAAAAAATTGACGAATGCGATCTTTAAAAGTAAATTTCAAAATATCGATGAATCGCTTATAGGTAAAAACATGTTTCAAAAAATGCAAGTGAGCGAACAGAAATATGACAGTTGAGACAGACGAGAAAGTTTCTTACAGACGAATTTTTCAGTGATTCTTTGGTACAGTGCTTTAACAAGATTTGGTGTGTTTTTTATTTTTTATTTTTTCAGGCCATCGGAAATCTTTACCACGCTTTCGAAAATTGAAGCATAGTACCAAAATAACCTTTCTTCGTGCAAGAAATTAGTCAAACATCATTAGAATTTCTAGCATTTTTGCTAGCTTTGAGTTCATTCTGAAAACGATCGGTCGTCATAGTAAGGGAAAAATATTACTAACTCATGGAATTATTAAACGTGTGAAAGAGTTTTATTCATAGGAGATAGAGAAGCGTGTAACGACGCCAAATAAAGAATTGCAGTTCGAATCTTCAGAGCCAAACGGAGTAAATAGTTATCTAGTTTTATTTAATAATAAAAAATAAAAAAATTAACATTGAAATTTAGAGAACGTTCCTGAAAATGCACTACTTTTTAGAATTTTTTTTTTTTTTTAGTTTATAAAAACGGTGTTATATTTCTTAGTATTATTTTTGAATAACATAAGGCATCATTTGGGTTTCAAGAGTTGAACATCAATAAACATAAGTTTTTCAAAACTTAGAAAACTATTTTTCATACTTTTTATAGAAAATATGAATTGAATATAGCGCATTACTTTACATTAGTCATTTTATTTAACATTGGTCTTTAAATTTACAATAACTGTCTAACTACATAAAAGTCGACCTAAACTGACTATAGTTTGAGCCGACATTCCACTGTCAATAATTTTTTTTTCTTCAATCAATTTTCTCTATATTGACAATGCAACGCAACTTAAAAAGAGTTTGGTAAAATTCCTTGATTTTACCTGTGGGTACGAGATTTTCCACATGGTTTCTAAGCAAAGGATTTCTTTGAGAAATTCTTTGCTTCCATAACCATCTCGGATTTTAGGTTTTTTTAGTTTGTGTTTTCTTGATATTTTTTTTTATACTTAACAACTTTTGATGATATAGTATTAGCAAAATATCTTTAAAAAAAGTTACAAGAAAGAGGGGTTATAATTATTTGGAGAAATAGCGTCTGATAATTTTTAGAACTTCCAAGAATTTTCGCACAAATTATAGAACAATAAAAAGATGCGATTTATAGTTTTGAGAAAGTCCATAAAAACAACACGTTTCTCAGTTTTTTATATTTTTTAATATGTAATTTTATTACAGTTTAAATTGATGTAAACTGATCTGAATGAACCTAAAAATTCTTTAAAGCAAATTGTATAAAAAATAATACTAATCTAATAACAGGTAACTATATACTATTAAACTATTTATCGAAAACTGCTAATTGTAGAGTTGTTATGGTATTTATTTTGTCAAAAATTTTTATTAGAGAATTCAAAATACCGCACGATTTATATCTCAAATTGTGATTGGGTGGCAGCTTGTATTTGGCATGCATCGAAAAATACTGCCAAAAAGAGTAAATATTTATCATCAGTTCATTTGTGAAAATTTATTAAAGAAGAGAGAAAACATTTTAAAAATTTTCCACCTTGTCTTTTCTTTTCAGCAAAATGTCTGAATTACGCATTAAATAACATGTTTATTAGAATAATAACAAATTTCAGACGTCACTACGTATTTAAAACTCTTCAATATGTACTATACATTAAACCTGTTTTTAGAATTATACGAAAGGAAAGACAAAAGAATAAATTACAGTTGATTGTAAGCAATTACATTTAATCTTCACAGAACCACACACAGAAGGAAATGTCCTTGACATTGAAACATACAAAAAGAAAATTTTAACATCTATAATCGTTGCTAATTTAAAAAAAAAAAAAACTTTGAGAAACTTAATTGACAAAAAACTTAGAAGATGAGAATGATTTAATCTAACACGCACACAAACAAAGAATCTACACACAAAAAAGGTTTTAGAATGAATACTTTTTGATCGTTGGATTAATTTGTACAATTTTGAGTATCAATATGCTCATAATATTCTTATGCAAATTTATTTAGCCTTCAAAATCTGAAATTATTCTAAAGTGTCGAGTTATATTATAATTTGTAAAGCGCATTTTTTTATTTTAGTGGTTAAAAACACTTTTCTAACCTCTCATACATCTGATGGATGCTTCAATAGTGATTTTTGACTTAAAAAGGGATTTTTTTTATTTTTTACTTTACTTGCATAATAGAACTTATTTATCTTATTTAATAATTATATCAGAAAGTATGAAAAAATTCTGGATGAAAACTTCTCAGGCTTTGAAACAAAAGTTCGAGAATTACTCTCTATTCTGAATAATTTTTAAAATACACAATAATTAGTAAAATAATAAACGATATAAAATGAACCACATTTTAAACTAGATTTCAATAGCACATGTTTAAATAAAACAAAAGTTTTTTTTCTTCTAAATTTTCACTAAAAATTAAATTTAAATTTTAGAATATAAATTCAAGATTTATATATATATATATATATATACAGGGTGGTCCCGAATTCATGGTACAAACTTTAATGGTAGGTACAGGACATTGTAACAATGATTTATTGTATAGGAATGTATAGTCGCAAGTGACGCGGTGAGGCGTAAACAGG